TGAGAGGACCAGGCTGATGTAATTGTGTGTCTGTTTTCGTCTCTTTCGGCCTGTGGAATAATTAACAGGTTTAATGTTCCCAGCATCTTCCTCCACGCTAATCACAGCGAGCTGGTGTTTCTGACGAAGGTTTTATTTCTCTTTCTCTCATCTGCTTTTTGTTTTTACACATAGTAAAAAAGAAAAATGGGAATTATGATAATGCTAATTGCTCTTCTGAGAATAGTTTTCCTGTTTTATTGTAAATATAATTAACATACTATACTAATTATCAACGCGTACTATACACTGTTTTTTAATACTGATACTTCAAGTACTCCTGCTGTTAGGGATGATGTTAATTTTAATATGACTAAAACAATCATACAGTTTTGTATTTGCTGTTTAACTTGCTAAGCACAGGTTTGAAGAATGAAGGTTTGGTTTTATCTGAAGTTAATACATTTCAGGGTCTCTGTCTCCCCAAAACATGCCCTGCCCCCCTCTCCTCTCCCCTTACTGTCCCACACAGCTGCTGAAGCCAGCAGGGTGCAGCCTCACTGATGAGCTGGGCAGACAGCGTTCAGTTTTTCAGGGAGCTACTGACTCGTTCCCATACTAGTCTCTTGCCATACACCCACAGGCTAGTACTTAAACCAGTCCCAGTCTATACCGGGAACCAGTGGGCCTGCTCAGCTTTCTGCTCTGAGTGAATCTGAAAGCTCGTTTCTTTCCTTCCTATCAGAGTTTGTGAATACGGGAATTTACAACAAGAATTTTTACTTACAACAAGACTTTTTAGACGTTGTTTTTTCACCACCTGTGATTTTAAATAAACCTGTGATGCTACCCATGATGTCAATGTCCCAGTCCTGAAATCCCATGTGACAAAAGTAAGATGATTTTAACATTTGTTTCTTCTAGTTTGTTTTTAGTCTCATTGTACTGTAGTAGTTAAAGGTAGCAATTATATGAAACCTCATCTCCTTGACGTGTACCAACTCTTTGAAGAGAATCAAGTGTCTTTTAGCCACAGGGTGGGCAACCCCATACAGGAGCTCGCATCAAGTTAGTGAGTTAAAAGGCTTCAACAGGACACACCTCACGTTAATGTGACAAGACAGGGAACAGCAGACACAGGAGGGTGTAATGCACCACACAATTAGGGCCTTCACAACAAACTCAAATAGATTTTTTCCAGTTCTGAATTTCTGAAGCCCTTCCGTCGCCCACCTCTCCCCACTCGATCTGCCTCCTCCGCAGCTCTCCTGAAACCTCGGAGATCTGCTGCCTCGCTGGAGCAGCGCACAGCCGTGCCTGTAGGTCCGATTCTGACTTCCACTGGACCTGTGGATCAAGGCAGGGTCCCAGTTCATCTTAGAACCACAGTTTGCTTTGCTCCTCTGATATTAATTTTGCGACCATCCTGGTATAATCCAGCTGCACGCAGACAGTTTGCGTGCGAGGCCCTGAGGTTGTGCACGAGTTAGAGAAATCATCTCCAGACCAAGGTAAGGAGCTGCAACTGAGGCTCTGCAGGTTTGTGCATCGCAGCTCCTTGGGACCAAAGGAAGACAGGAAAGTGTGGGCAACACAGGGACAGCATATCATATTGTAACAGGGGAAGAGAGCAAAGTGTGTTTGATGTCTGTTTGAGTACAGCATGTCATGTATTCCTATTTTAGACACAGACACACTCTGATTTAACAACTAATACCTACAGTATACACCCATGCATACTGGAAATAGGGTGAATTTGACCATTTTGGCCTGACTGGGCTAAATATTTTTCTTGGTGTTTCTTGATGTATCAGGTCTCACGTGATGCGACTGAGTTCCCTCGCAGCTTTTCACAATGAGTACAGCTGAGCGGGAGGACTGGGGAAAGGCAGATGCTTAAGGGAAGCAGTGTTGTAGGCAGGAAGCAGACATGTGATGAATGACTCTGATGGCAGATTAGACAGCCTGTAGCTTTCACTATAAAGCCTAAACCCTCCTCTTCAGATTGCCCACTAAAAGAACTGCTCCTGTTGACAACATAGGTTAATTAAACAGACAAACTGGAAGGAAAAAAACAAACGTGTAGCTGAAAACTAGTTGTGTGTAAGAGTCAGTGAAGCCAGTGCTTTGGAGTACTGCAGCACAAGTTGTTTGCTGCAGTGCCAGCATAGTCCCTTGGTGATCTGCGCTCCTGAAGGGGAAGTGCTGTGGTCCCTCTGTGTCCCTGCTGCAGTGGGCATGGTGGGGCCTGCCTGCCTGCTTGGGCACGAGGGCAGAAGCACGTCTGCCCACGTCATTCATCGGGAGATCAGATTTCACGCCTTTTGAGCTCAGACTTGCACTCTTATAGACTTATAGGCTCCCTCCCTCTCTCACCCTCGCTCGTAAGGCTCTGCGTGTGCATGTGTGTGCGTGTGTGTGTGTATTGCTGGAGATATGCAGCATTATTTCTGCTCCATTTAAACCTGTCAATACTTCAATTAGAACCAGACTCCAGGCCCTCAGGGAAGGACGATTGGCATGTATTGTTCTCTGGGATGGCCCAGGATTTGAGTCCTACATTACTGCGCCATCTTGATCCTGTCCAGTTTTATACAGAATTGATCCACAGAAAGATCTGTGATTTGTTTAAGACTGGGCTAATCTACTTTGAAATGATGTTTTGAAAGAAGAGTGGGTGGAATAAAAAGACTCTTCTGTAAGGTGTTCAGTACAAATTTGCCAATTGAATTAAATTAAAAGACGAGAATCAGAAATCAGGCTGAAAATGTATGTTTACTGTTTCATATTAATTTAGAAATCCATTTGTCATTCATTATTCATTCCAGGTCATGTGAGACTAAAAGAACAGAGAACTTAAATTGAATCCGGCTGGACATCTTTATGTCCTTCTTTTCCTTAATTTTGCTTTTGTTCATTTGTTTAAAGAGTTGTAAATCTGCCTTGAGAGTGTCTGGCTTTATTCCCTGAATGTTCTTAGTATTACGCTCAAAAGCAATGTTTTTTTGTGTGATTCTCAGTTTGATATTGGAGTTGATATAGATGTGTGCCTGTGCAAGATTATTAAATGAATGACAAAAGTGTTGTCGCTGTTTGTAGTGTTTGGCTGACACCTTTATCAAGTCCAATTTCCAGAAACTGCACAGCAGTGATCGCAGACACAGGAGTGTCTATACTGTATGGTCACTGAAAAAACTGAAGCTGTATGACATCCACACAGAGAAATGAATGCATATTATTTAAAATGAAGAGTAACTTGATAATGTGAAACAGATTCCCTGTAGAGGATTACTGTGTGCTTACCACTGTCTTATTATACAGGCCGTAATTTCGCTGGATATTAAAAAAATACATCAACTAAGCAATTAAGGAATTATCAAGACGACTGCTTGCCTGAGGCACTCCAAAACCGTTCTGCATTTGCAGAGATTAGATTTCTCTCTGCTTCTCCATTGTCGGTAGAATCCAGTTATCTTTCCAGCAGAGGTCTTGAACTGTGAATCTCCAGAGGTCACGGATACCAAGTGACACATTATCTATCATCCTTGGCACAGTGGATAAGAGGAAGCCAAAAGGCTTGGTACTCTGCTTCTTACAGTGCTTAAGATTAATTTTACAGCCTAAAATTTGTATTTGCTGCTGAAAAGTGAACTGTACTCATCAAATGTCAGAAGATCAGATCCGAGTGCTGTTACTCTCTGTCTGGGGCTGTCATTGTGTCCAAAACAGACTTGTCCAAATCACGGTCCCTGTTGCCTGGCAGTGTCGAATCACTCTTCGTGTTCGAGTCACCTGGCTAGAGATGCCCTACTGGTGGACATCAACGTCCAGCACTGGCACAGCTGACACAGAACCCAGACACACATGTTGCCATCTTACTTAACTTCTTTTCTGACGTAGTGCAATTTGTGTCATTTTGTGTCACACACTCCTCAATATGATATTGCTAATGTTTTCTAGTGATGACCCTTGTTGTCTCACCAGGCTCCTACCTGAATGATATTTTATGATCTATAAGAAGAAAATATCTGGCTAAAAAAATCACACTAAGCAAAGCTGAGGAACCTTTTCTTAATGCATCTCACTTAAAATTCATAGTTGTCATGCAAAATAAATCAGCCTTCTTGTCTGTTACACTGCTTGAAACAGCTTCAGAGTGAATAAGATATGAACCTTAAACGTTCGCAGTCCCTGCTCTGACACGTTCAATCACATCAGCGGGGCTGCCGCGCGCCGGAGTAACCCAGACTGCTCCAGCCCTCGGAGCGCGCTGCTTCAAAGAGCACGACAGGGTCGGGGTACCCAGGGAGGAGGAGGGGGGCTGTGTTTGATTAATACGGATTATCAAAGCGCCGTCATTATACAACCACAGCAGGTCTAGAGGGAGAGGAAGAGAGGGGTGGAAGTGAAGTAGCACTAGGAGATAGGAGACTGGGCCGGCCGGCTCCAGCATGCTCAGCAGAAATGCTGGCTGTGCAGCGCTGTGAGTGTGCTGTCAGCCCTGCCTGTCAGGCTGAAGACTGTCCACATCAGGTAGAACATGGTCCCCTCGCACATACTCCTACACATGCTGCACCTTCACAACGGGGTTCGTCCTGACTCTTCCCAGTTCACTAAACTGTTTTTTTTATTCATTTTCAAGCCTGTGGGGCAACAGTGACAGTTCCTAAACCAGCTGAAGTACATTTAAATCCATCAGCCAACAGGATAAAAATATGATTATTATTATTATTATATCTGACATCTTCATCCAAAACTGGTAGAATCTGATTTTTTGTTGTATTCGGAGTTTGAGTCCTTCTCTTGCCTCCCGCTGCCCAAGATGGTACCCGAGGCTTCTTTCAGGACAGGACTGGACAAGATCCTACTCTTGTCTGTTACCCTGCTGATGTTCTTCATACTCGGAGACAACTCCTTTCTTTTATCCATTGTCCAGGCCTGGATGTTGGGAGGACAGGGGTGGAGAAAGGCTGTCTTTCGTCAGGTCGCCCTGTTCACTGCTCCTCCTCTTGTGCTTCCAGTTCCAGCCATGATCACCTCCTACCCCAACACCTCCCTGGCCACGCAGGGCCAGAAGAAGGAGATGAGCTGCAGTGCTCATGGGGAGAAGCCCATCATCGTCCGCTGGGAGAAGGAGGACAGAATCATCAACCCTGAGATGAGCCGCTACGTCGTTTCCACCAAGGAGGTGGGCGAAGAGGTCATCTCCAAGTTGCAGGTACGAGGGTTCAAGGCAGACTGTCTGCTCACATCGGGGACCAGTCTAGAAAACAAGGCCGAGCACATAACAACCATTAATGGGACAGGAATGTGCCACTATACCTCTGTAAAAATATTGTATTATTTACAGGATTTAATGCCTTTTACTCTGAAAATGCATGATATTTACAAAGCATTATTTCTGGTTCGAATGAAGACATTCTATTGACTTGTTTTTTGTTTGCAGATTTTGCCAACAGTCAGGGAAGATTCAGGGTTTTTCTCCTGTCACGCAATCAACTCCTATGGAGAAGACAGAGGCATCATCCAGCTGACAGTGCAGGGTAAGATGAGAAGTCAGTGCAGAATCGCACATCTGTTTTAGAACAGCAGCCCTGGAAAAATTATCTTTAAAGTTCCTATATAGGGAGAAATTCCTGCTGTGATATTTGGCTATTTTAAGGGTCGCCTCTGTAAAAGCTTTCTGATAAGTTTGCCAATTGAGTTTGCTCACACTTCTCTCCTCCTGCCCCTGCAGAGCCCCCTGACCCTCCCGAGGTTGAGATCCGGGACGTCCGGGACCGCAGCATCGCCCTGCGCTGGACAATGGGCTTCGACGGGAACAGCCCCATCACCGGCTACGACATCGAGTGCAAGAACAAATCAGGTAGAGCCCTCAGGGCTTCCTGCTCTCTCTCTCCCAGCGCTTAACCGGTTCCCTTCTGAATCAGGCAAGTAAATCAAAAGGCAAAGTCCATCAGAACATTTAACAACAAAATCTGTGTGACATCCAGCAGAACACGTGTCAAAATTTTCACTTCCTGCTTTGAGTGTGGGCGTGCCTTTCAGCCCAGTTGCCTAGAACACCAGCCAGTCGGAGGCCTGTGCTAACGTTTGCCGCTGACGCTGTTGCAGACTCCTGGGATTCAGTGCAGAGAACCAAAGATGTGTCCCCCCAGCTGAACCAGGCGACCATCATCGAGCTGCACCCCTCCTCCACCTATAGCATCCGCATGTACGCCAAGAACCGTATCGGCAAGAGCGAGGCCAGCAACGAGCTCACCATCACCACAGAGGAAGCAGGTAGCCCCCGTCCGCTCCCGGGATCGCCACTCCATTCCCACTCGTGCTTCCTGTGATCCACACTGCATTCCCACTCGTGCCTCCCGGGATCGCCACTGCATTCCCACTCGTGCTTCCTGGGAGACATGTGATTCATCCAGTAGCAGCGGGTCTCACGGTTCTCATTTGTGGATCATGACCAGTGGGTTACAGCACCACATACTCATCATGTGGCCACTGACACTAAAGCACACAGTCAGTCACAGTCAGAGGAGCAGGAAAACAGCACAGGGGCTCTGCTCCCCTCCGTGGTCCTGCAGTACTGACCACAGACCAGCGCTGGTGCTTCTCATTATGATGGCGCGTCTTATTCAATATCTTCCATCTGTCTGTCTCTGTCCGCTTGTATTATTTTATGAATGTATGTTGCTAGTTGTCAAAAATAAGAGTTTCTGGCCTGTTAAAGCCTAATAAAAGCTCAGGATACATAGAAAACAAACTGTTTTATTTGGCAGCAGGCTGGCAGTTTCTCTCCAGTGCAGCATTTTGATGTCTGACATCTTCAAATTGTTCCCAAACCATAGCATATGATTATTTTATTTATTATTTTAATATCCACGTTGTTTCATGCTAGATTTTCATTTTTTGTATTTATTTTTTATTATACCCAGGAGTTAGAAGAAAGAAATCCTTTGACTGTCACTATGTCACTGTGCTGAATATAGACACTAAAATGTCTCTCAATAACCATGACCCTGGACGTTTTTGAGATTTTCTCAAAATATTTTGCAATCTCTGTAGATTAAAATTATTCTCTGAGTTCTATGTGCAAAAGAAGGATTTCCCAATAAAATCAAACTGGATAGAGTTTAGGTATTTTGTGCCACCTATTGGCAGAACTATAGAACCTACTTGCTCTCGATCTTCTTGCAGCTCAATTTGACAGAACTCTGCTGCAGCAGTTTTCCTTTGCTGTCACTATAGTGCAGATGCAGTCTGTGTCGCCCCCCAGAACCTGTTGTGTTCGCACCTGTATCCCCTCTCTCCTCTCCCGAGTGTTGTTCACCTGTTCTGTTCTTTGGGCTTGCTTTCAGCCCCAGATGGGCCACCCCAGGATGTGCAATTGGACCCCATCTCTTCTCAGAGCATTAAGGTCACCTGGAAGGTAAGACCGGATTCAGGGATCTCTGGCTGAGACGCCTCACTGTGCAGAGGGGGTCAGTTGTAGTACTGGACAACAGGGACTCTATCCTATTGTACTAAATCACTTGTGCATCATTCCAGCCTTTCGGAGCCTCTGAGTTCTCAGGTCTTCAGTCCATCTTCCGGCTAGTAAGAGCAGAACAAGAGAAGTTACAAACCAAGGATATGGGCTGGGTAGTTTGTTCCACACTCCCACAACCCTTTGCATTAAAAAAGTGCTTTCTCTCCTCAGTTTTAAATGCACTTCATTTCAAGATATGTCTCCTAGTTCATGTTTGTTTCTGTCGATCCTGAAGATGTCCAGAGTAGGTAATTGACTTAATTATTGGCTTAATTGGGCCAATAAATCACTTTTCAAAGTGCTGCGGTTTTAAGAGATCTATAAATCCTCGCTGGACCACGGTCCTTAAGGACTGGTGTTCCACACCGTCACACAGACGGCTGCTCTTGTTGGTCTTTGCTCTTTAAGGCACCTTGGCATGTCTTCTGCTCAGTGGTCCTTAATTATTCAAGCCTACAAAGAGATCTAGAACAAAACGGGATCTGAAGCAATGGCTTTTGGAGACACGCAACCCTTCTCTCACAGGCGCCCAAGAAGCACCTGCAGAACGGCATGATCCGTGGATACCAGATCGGCTACAGGGAGTACAGCACCGGGGGCAACTACCAGTTCAAGATCAAGAACATCGAGACCACGGGGGACAGCGAGGTGCACACGCTGGACAACCTGAAGAAGTTCACGCAGTACGGCGTGGTGGTGCAGGCCTGTAACCGCGCCGGCACCGGGCCGTCCTCTCAGGAGCTCATCGTCACCACGCTGGAGGACGGTGAGTCTGCCGTCCGCGCCGCGCCGCACCCCCGGTGGGGAGTGTGGGGTCCCCGCCTGCTCCCGCAGCTTCTCTCAGGGACAAAGACATCAGCCAGCCAGGGACACAGAGCAAGTGTAGGGCAGTGATGGGGGTATTGGGGTACTGGGAGGGGGGTGAATGGAGAGTGGGGTAATAGGGTAACTAGGGTGGGGTAATGGGAGTGGGAGTGGGGTAAGGCCACAAGACAGATCCTAGGCTGAAGCCTGATGCTTTGCAGTGGACACCCGAACAAGAGAAATTCATATGTTGTTAAATTGATTTAAAATACTATGGAAACAAAATACCTTCAGTCCTTTTAGATTACAACAGTCCACAGATATTGCGCTTTAATTAAATTAAAAGGCCTTCAGTAATACTTTCCTTAGGCCAAGCAAAATCAGTTGATTTTCCCTGGGACTACTCTTCTCTATGCAGGGAAAATCCGGGAAGATTGTGAGAGATCGCCCCCTGCTGGCACCTTGTTCACACTTTTACCAGCAATCAGAAATTACAAGACCAGAACTGCAATAATGCTATTAATGTTTACAATGTTACTATTTAGATGATAATCTGAGATTATATTAATGGGAGAAGTGAAATTAATTAGTTAATTTGCTTCTTAATTATATTGATTTAACTTGAGAAAGTAAGAGCTTTTAATGGATCAAATTCTTTTGCTTATTGTGTGCATTTTTATGTGGAGTTCTATAACTCCCCTCGTTAAAAATGAAAAAATTGAAATATAAATTAGGATGTTTTTCATAAACAACTTCAGGAATTCCCTCCTTTGGAAAGCTTTAATACAGAAGGTTAGCAATCTTTTTAGATATACTGTATACAGTACACGTGGAAACCAGAATCACCTAGAGGTGTCTAGAGGTTAATTAAATACATACCATGAAGCATCCAGAATAGCATCTGCTGATCTATCACGCAAGCAACACCTTTCAAGTTCTTGTGTTTGTCAGAGCCTACAGTGGCTTTGAATTGTGTGAATTAACATTAATTAACTGATAAAAGTTCACAACGTTGAACCATTATCACATTATTGTTGCACATTTTGTATTCCCTTAATCAGGGAATCTGCTAATAATTTGTGACTGATTTATGTTCTAAAACCCTTGTTTTCAGAGTTTAAACATTATAACTCATAGAGTATATTTTCAGCTAGAATTTAAGGCACTCATATTCCACTCTGAACTTTCTGTGCTCAGCTCATGCTCTATATAGTGTATACCTGGGTTTTGTGAAAGTGAGAGGAGCTCAGTGCTCAGCAGAGTGAGGCAGCTCCATCCCTGTGCTGTGGACCCTAGTGAGCTGCCCGTCTGTGCTGCAGTGCCTCTTCTGCAGCCTGCAGTAACTGTACATGCAGAGGGCTGTTGTTCTGCAGCCTGCAGTCACTGTACACACAGAGGGCTGTGTTCTGGACCCTGCAGTCACTGTACACACAGAGGGCTGTGTTCTGGACCCTGCAGTTACTGTGTGCACAGTGGATCATCACCGCAGGGGATGACAGGTCTTTCCAGGGCTTATGGGAGTTTGTTCCTCTTTGTGCAGTGCCCAGCCGCCCACCAGAGAACATGCAGGGCACGGCCACATCCCCCGAGACCATCTCTCTGTCCTGGTCAACACCCCCCAAGGAAGCGCTCAACGGCATCCTCCAGGGCTTCCGGGTCATCTACTGGGCCAACCTGCCGGACGGCGGTAAGCTCAGCCGGACGGCCCTGTGTGCCGACTCGCGCCCTGCACTGCCCGGTGGTGGGAGACGGAATTCGGAAGTGAGCCATTGGTGGTGGTGTTCTTAGTTTATCTGGCCCGGATCACTGCTGCCTCTAGAGTGGTGGGGGGCTTGTAAAGGCATGGAAAATGAGAGGGGAGCTGGCCCTGAGACACTGACATGGTTCAGTCACACACAGGCTTGTTCTCTTATTTGGACGCGACACCATGGGTGAGAACAGATTTTCCCACTAAACGCTTAACTGTCAGACGTTAACCATGGCCTGGCGTGGTGCTGCCAAGAACCCAGTAAGTTTGCTCGCAGTTTTAGTTCAATAAGTTTCAACGACCTCCTGAGAGGCCCCTATGGGGTCCTGTAGAAACCAGTTTTGACGTAGCTCTTCAGTCCTGATTTGCACAGCCTCGCTCAATCACGTCCAAGCCTCTGAAACACAGATTGCGGAACTACGCTCAACACTGGATCAGGACATTCTAATTCCACATCAAGAGTTAAACTCTGCTTAAACAAAGATTATCTCCTCAATAAGCATCATATGCTACACTTCAGAGGACACCTTCAAAGAGAAAGCCCACTGCTGGTTATGTCTTGTGGTTCTTCTGCTGCAGCCTTGAAAGTCTCGGAGCATCAGGTTTTAAATACTGCTGAGCCTTGACAGGCCAGGGACATGTCAAATAGATTGTTTCTGACAACACCATTACCTTTAACCCTGAATCTGTCACTTCTCATTGGCCTGAAGTCCCCTTCCTCCTGAAGGAGGAATACACTGTCACATTGTAACAGCCCAATTACACTTACAAAGTGTAACAATGTACCATTTTGTAAATAAAGCTGCAGAAGCACTCTGCTCATACAGTATGTATTTTCCTGCCAAATGTGCATGTTTACAGTTCACTGGAAATAAAGCATAAAATGTATTTCCAGAGCAATGTTAGGTTTATTTACCAGCTACACACTGATGAGTATTTTCAAATTAAATAATTCAAACTATCTCATAAGAAATTAAGAAAGGTTACAAATGAGAGAGGTTCCTTCTGCTGTTGCTGCTACCTGTTTGGATCTAAGGATCTAAGGATCTCCTCCAGCCATTCCTTGATAGATACATGGAGCACTCAAGCACTGTGAGAACTGTATTCTGTGAGACCACAGGAGCTGCAGAACATCATTCTGGTCTGGACTCAGCAGAGCTGTCCTCTTTCTCCACCCGGCACTGCAGCTCTGTGGGCAGACAGGGCACAGTCACCCGAGACTCGGTTGAATAAGCGAGAATGAGTCTGAGAAACAATGGCAGTGGTCACTGCAGTTCTTTAACAAAAGGAAAACAATCTCATTTGTTTTTCCAAATTGGCAATATACAGTACCACTCACGTTATTTGTTCCTCTTAGTAGCATGGTGCTTTTCATACTTAATGATGAATGTAGCACTTTCAAGGGCTTAGCTTAACATTAAAGTCTAACCGATATCAACACACATCTTAGAGTCTGCACGGCCAATACTGCATGATTACAACAGACCTGAATTACACACAACTTTAACACACCTGCTCTAAAGTGAAAGGAATGGCGTACACCACTTCTCCAGTCACAAATATTTTATTTTTCCATAAAACTGTAGGTTTAGTCCTCCAAGCTGTAAAACTGAGCTGAGCAAATTATAAATAAAGTAATGAAAACACTGTTGCCTGAGCAAAATTGAAATAGGCAGCTGCGTCAGCATGCGTAGGAGCAAAGGAACAAGTTAAAGGTTTATTCCTTGCTGAAATGAGAAGAAAGGAAACACAACGTTTCGGCTGTGGAGCCTTCAGCTGAAACGTTGTGCTTCCTTCTCTTTTCAGTATGGAATAAACCTATAACTTGTTCCTGAGGAAAATGGTACTTCCTTGTAATTTCATTCTTTTTCCACAAGAGGGAGATGTAGGTCCTTTTTGTAAGTCCCAGCGCACAAATGAATTGAATGAAGAAACGTGATGCAAGGAAACAGCCTCTGAACCACGCGATTGTGCTAGAAACAATCACCTGTGTTCTGAGACGGAGACCTACAGAACACCTAGAAATGCTATTTATTAAAAGTATTTTTGAAACAGTAATAATAATCACGATTAAGTTTTTCAATTTTTTCTGTTTTAGTTTTTGTTTTCATATGGATTTCCTCCTGCATAATTGCCCAAATGGTTACTAAGAACTGAGATAATAAATCTGCAGAACTTTTATTATGCTTTTATTATACAAGATACACTGTAACACATAATGAATCAGATAAATTAAGCAAACATAGCAAATACTGAAGAAGGTTTTAACAAGTGTATTGAATACACTAAAGTTGTACCATTATATTAACCCTATATATAAAGCTGTACCTCTGCTATTCTCAGATAGCTAATAGTTCTGTTTCTGGAGCTGATTTTTAATTACCCTCTAAACCCATGGAAAAATCACTCAGGGCCCTTAGACAGGCGCGCATCTATGTGAAGCTCAGCATTTACTGCAATCCATAATGTCAGGACACCCAATTCCAGTTTTGCTGAGGCAGTTTAATTTTTAATTGCTTAACCATGTTGAACTGGGACGATTACAAAATGCACTCAAGCACAGTAATAACTAGTGAGTAGAAATATTGCAGCGTGTCTGTGGATTATAGAGAAATCAAATGTGATTTTGCTGAAGATTAAAACGAGCTTCACTCTTGACATGTGGAAGCTAAAGTATTCAGAGAGGTGTACTGCCCTCTTTAAAATGCAGATGAACTCTTATTTCACTTACAATAACAACACTGTATAGGTGTACGATGTAGTTATTAATTTCCACTTAAAATCATCTTGGTTCTTTGTTCTTTCAGTTACAGAAATTATTTTAGGATCATTTTAGGCCTCATGGAGGCAGTAGTGAGCAGCACTGTTATACATGTCCTGGCTCTGCACCGGTCTGTGTTTGTTCCTCCAAACGGAAAAGCTGCCCTTCTCTCGGAGCACTGCTCAGCCAGTCATCGTGGTGTACACGATTCTCATGCCCCGACAGCACTCTACGGCTCTGTGTTTAAAAATTATCTTTTCTTCGCCTCGATACTGTCGATATTGCAAGCTTAATGTCACAGTAAATTTTAAACCCATACAGCTAAATACAAGAGTGTTCTTCAAAGCAGAAAGGCACGGACCCGGTCGCCATTTTGGTGCATGCTGGGGAAACCCACATGTCCAGTTCTGTTGTGGATGCAGGTCTGGGGATTCGCCGGTTTATAGTGGTTTATAGTGCCAAGGTCACCCATGAATGCAAAATTGCAATCACAGAACAGGTACACATCCTGAGGGGTTTAACAGAGTTCCTGTTGCACAGCCGATGTAAAAGACCCCTCAAGTTCATCCTTGACGGCAGGTGTGTGTGCCTGTGGGGGAGACTGGGGGTCACTGTGTCCGTCCTCGGCATGTTTCCTCAGAGCTGGGGGAGATCAGGAATGTCACCACCACACAGCCCTCCCTGGAGCTGGACGGCCTGGAGAAATACACCAACTACAGCATCCAGGTGCTGGCCTTCACCCGCGCCGGGGACGGCGTGCGCAGCGAGCAGATCTTCATCCGGACCAAAGAGGACGGTAGGGCGCCTCTGTACCACACATGCCAGTAATGCGCCAGCTTCTCCGACAGCTCCCACTGTGTACCGAGCTGCATTTCTGTTTTGAACAATTTAAACCTGGCAATGGCGCGATTAATAAAGTCGTAACTCTGTACGGTCCTTCAGAGGGACTTTAGTGCTGGAGTTGGGGGGACTTCTTTGAGATCGGTTTCTGCTCCACGCCGCGTGCCTGTTAAGTCGAGGGCCTGTAGGGAAGAGCTGGCAGGGTTTCAGTGTGTGTTTGTGTGTGTGTCTGACCAGCGCCCCCTGTCTGTCTGCTCCTGCCAGTGCCCGGGCCGCCAGGGGGAGTGAAAGCCGCCGCCGCCTCCAACTCCGTGGTCTTCGTCTCCTGGCTGCCGCCGCTCAAGCTCAACGGCATCATCCGGAAGTACACGCTCGTCTGCTCCAACCCCTACCCCACGGTAAGACCGCCGCGCCACGGCCCATGGACTCGCGCCTCCGGGGCTGCGAGGGAGGACAGTGGGACAGAGACAATCCAGTCGCACGTCTCGGTGATGCCCGGGGCTGTCCGTTTCATTGCTCCAAACACTAGACACTGCTCTGCTCAAGGAAACGTAAAAGGGTATTTCACAGCGGTCCTCTGAAAATGGAAGGGCGATGGGGAGCAGTTGCTTGTACTTTGGCGGCCCGTGCTGCTGCAGATACTCGATTGTCTCGTTCTGCTTTGCAGGTGATCAGCGAATTTGAAGCCTCTCCTGATGTGTTTTTCTACCGCATCCCGAACCTCACCCGCAACCGGCAGTACAGCATCTGGGTCGTCGCGGTGACGGCAGCCGGCCGCGGCAATGCCAGCGACATCGTCACTGTTGAGCCTCTCGCTAAAGGTACGGACTCTGGTCAGCCGCAGGCGACAGGGCACGGACTGAAGCCACTCCAGCTGGCCAGAGCTCCAAATCTGTCGGTATTATCGATGCCGGATTAGAGATGGCGGGTGCGGAGGGCTCGGGTTTCAAATTTTCAAGTGATTCCTTCATTGGGATTCTCTTCCCAGGCCTTCCTTGGTCTGTCACCTGATGGCCTTTGACCTCTGGCGCAAAGGAGGTGCCGCAGGGAGAGCAGATGACACCAGAAAGCTGTGTCTCTCCTCACACAGTACATTGCGTGCGGTGTGCACAGTGATAATATTCACCTGTGATTTCCAATAACAGGGATCCCCCCCACACACACACACACACTCGGCACACAGCTCCCTGTCTGATCCTGAAACACTCCCGCCTCCTCCTCCAGCTCCGGCCCGGATCCTGACGTTCAGTGGCACGGTGACAACCCCCTGGATGCGAGATATTGTCTTACCCTGCAAGGCGGTGGGAGACCCGCCCCCCACTGTGAAATGGCTGAAAGAGAGGTAAACATGGTACCTGTTTGCACGCGTCCGTCACCGAGATCCGTGATCAGGGTTTGGAACCTCCTGCTGCTCATCTGGAGAGCAACTGACTTCATTCCAAATTTGATCAGTACCACAGGAAGGGGAAATTAATATTTCATAGCACATATGGAGCTGCATTGTTTCCCATGTCTTCTACTGCATCACATTGCTCCACGGCAGAGCTGGGAAACTCTCGAAGCTCAGCATGGGCCAGCTGGGCTGCACACACAAAGCACGGGCAGCAATATTGGATTTGCACTGCCATTCTCGAGAAGGCAAGCGTCTGTGTGCTTTCTGAGCATGTTACAGTCGCTGCACACACAGTACACATACTGGAGACAGTTAAAAGTGTTCTCAAGGTTCCTCCTTCTGCATCTAGCTAGAGGGATATTTTTATAACATTAATCTCCACTTGAAGCATAAACTTTTGGAAGACTTGTTTCTTATTGTATGTGGATTGTCAGTCATTGTGTCAGTCAGTGTCAGACATTCACAGTATTTATGTTTCCAATTTCTCTGTTATTGTTCTCACACTCTTTTCTTCCTTTAATCCAGTTAAAACTGCCTGTACCAACAACAGCTTTTAGTTGAAAACAAGTAAACTTACCAGCTACATGTAATATTTGAACAGATAAGGTTGTCATTTTTTAGAAATTGGTATTATAAGGTCATGAAGAGATGACAGATTTTTATGAAGGGCATCAGGTGGTGAGGTGTCTGTCGTTAATCTCTGAATGTCACGTGCTGTGCCACAGCAATGGGACTCCTGCTCCTGTGCTGATTGATGGGCGGCGCAGTATCTACGGCAACGGCAGCTTTGTCATCCGGACAGTGAAAGCAGAGGATTCTGGGTACTACAGCTGTGTTGCCAGTAACAACTGGGGTTCAGACCAGATTGTGCTTAACCTGCAGGTTCAAGGTGAGACAGCAGCCAAAGATTCACAAAGACAGTGGTAATAGGAGGCATCTAGCCATAGCCTCAGATCCTGAGATTCTAACTTGCTATATATTTGAAGGGATCACAGATATCTTCCACACTCCTTGCCTGACTGCGGATAGGGCTTTCTTATAGACGATCACCCGCAAGAGATAGCTGAGGCCCAAGAGGTGTGCCTTGTGGGCTTGAAGGGTGCCACTATGGGGGGAAGGAGGAAACACTGACATTCTTTCATAGATCCTTAAAAGAAATGTAATTCGCTGGTGGGATCATTGAATCGACAGAGGGGTTGATGTGTCTCAGTCATGCATCTTGCAACATTATGTCTATTCCTCGGCCTGCAGTTCCACCGGACCAACCGCGTCTCACCGTCTCCAAGACGACCTCCTCTTCCATCACTCTCTCCTGGATTCCTGGCGACAATGGGGGGAGCTCCATCCGAGGTGAGCGGGGGTCGCTCTGTCCACACCAGCAGTGGAAAGCCCAGGAAGAGCCAGTCCAGGCTCGGGAAAATTTCAGTTGAAAAGCCCTTTCCCCCAGCCAGTTCTTATTCAAAGAGATCTTCAGCACCTGAGTTAATTAAACAATTAAAGCTCAATTCCAGAAGTTAATTTATTGGAAGGTCCTTGTAATGGCAGACCAGAAGTGCCAAGGATGAGCACCCTGGCCCACATCTTGGGAAAATCTACCAGAAATCTCCAGGGGAACTCCCTGCCTCACTGTGGCCACAGTACATCCACTGGGAAGGTATCCATTGAGGCTGACGATACAGTAGGTTGCCACACTGGGCCATAAACAAGCTATCAGCTGGTACTGTAGCTGTCACCCCCAGAAGACCGAGTTACAAAAGTTCTGAAAGTTTTTGCATTACTGAATAAGCACAGGACCAACCACGCATAAAGTCCAGACCTCGGAACGGAAGAACTTTAATTAGAAACTTGAACTCATAGTTCTGTTTGGAGACCTTTTCCCAGGTCTGCAATTTGTGGCACATTTACAGCCGGAGCTTGAGCACTAAAAGGTGAGCAATATTATTCCAAATTCCAATGTAATCATCACAACATTGGAGCCAAGATGCTTGAGCATCAGAGCCTGAGTGCTCTCATTCTTCAATCTTGTAATAGTTAAATAGGTAAAGATAATGGATAAGGGGACTATAAGCCTTTAACAAGGACCACGTTTACCAGAAAATGAAGAAAACAAAACCCTATTTAACTGAAGAATATATCTTATGAAAAATGTAATGTTTTTAACTGGTGGTGAATGATGCTTTGTGAAATGGGCATATTAAGCTATCTTCTGGGGCCCATTCTGTTCTTCTGATTCTTTTACACACTTTTTTAAAGTTTACCAAGAATTATTTTTACTTTCTAAAGACTGAAGATATTCAGAGGGGATTCTTAGGCTCAATCCTGATAGGTCTCCCCCTCACTTCCTGCAGAGCTGTAGTCATAGAAACAGCAATTGGTCTCCACCTGCTGGTCCTCCAGATTTGTTTCCTTCTTGTATTGGCTAACATTAGGATTCTTCTGAACAATGTATCACGCAGCCAGCTTAGATTGGTGCTGTTTTTCCATGTCAGTCTTCTTTTTGTTTTTCCTTCATTGAGGTCTTATCTACTTCTCCAGATCAAATTCCTCCACCGCTAACTGAGCAGACATCTTGTTTTCCCGATGTCCTGTTTCCTCCACAGGCTATATCTTGCAGCACTCCGAGGACAACAGTGAGCAGTGGGACAGCCTTCCCATCAGCCCCAGTGAGCGCTCGTACCGGCTGGAGAACCTGAAATGTGGGACGTGGTACAAGTTCACGCTGACGGCCCAGAATGGAGTGGGCCCAGGCCGCATCAGTGAGATCATCGAGGCCAAGACCCACGGCAAAGGTGCTCTCCTGCTTCCCCCTCGTGAAAGCGCTGCCTGTGGTTTTACCTTTCCAATTAAGTATCTGTTCCAAACCACCGCAGCTGTTGAACCACCTTCACTGGTCTTTAGAAAGATGTCTTGTGGTCCAGTACAGCCCTCTGTTTCTCTGCTTTTCTCTGTAGCAAAAGTGCACTGTTTCTATACTGTAGAACACCACTAGTTAAATGTCATAAGTTCGGTTAGGAGAAGAGCATCTTCTTGTTTCTGGGACTTGTTTATTAACGACTAAGGACCCAAGGCCTGCTTAATTGCTCCTCGTTTCTCCGCTCAGAACCCCAGTTCTCGAAGGAGCAGGAGCTCTTCGCCAGCATCAACTCCACCTGCGTGCGGCTGAACCTGATCGGGTGGAATGATGGCGGCTGCCCCATCAGCTCCTTCATCCTGGAGTACCGCCCTGTGGACACCACGGTGTGGACCACGGCCCAGAAGACCACGCCTCCCAAGAGCTACGCCCTGTCTGACCTGCAGGAGGCGACGTGGTATGAGCTGCAGATGAGGGTGACCAACAGTGCCGGGTTTGCCGAGAAGAAGGTGAAATTCGCTACGCTGAACTACGATGGCAGTGAGTCTCAAAATTCTTCAAATTTATTCGGAAATGACATGCATGTATGGCAGACATCTGTCCGTTGCTCTTGTGTAGTCATGTTGTTTATTAGCGGAGGGAATGAAAAGTCCTTTGGTTTTGTCTTCAGCATTGTGCATGCGACAGCAGCTTTAGCGACAGCAGCTTTTTATTCCTCTTCTGAAAAAGAAAATAATTCCAGGTCTTTAAAATCGGATAAATTCAAGGTCCCCTGTGGGCACTAAGTAAGAACTGCACTAAACAGGCCTGGAGGCTTAACATATGCTATATTTTCCTGTGACTTTCATGCTTTTAAACTGAGACACAAAGGAAGAAGTTTGTGTAGAATAAAAAAGCTACTTACAATTCAAAATGAAGAAACATTTCAGATTTGATGTCAGTCAGCGCAGTAACCCACAGTTCGGGGAAAGAAGCAGGCTGAGCTTTAATGATAAGAGTTTTGATGTTACTTTCAGTTTAACGTTGCTCGAGCTTTCTAGAGGTGCTGTTCTCTTTGATATGAAAAAGAAGTCCCAGTGGAGAATTTAAAAAGCTGTATACTGTATATATAAGTTTTGAGTTCTATGATGAATGAACTGTACAAATATCGGATCATTTCATGCTGGTGTCAGTTGCTGCTACTGACATGCCACTTTTCTGTAATCCTTCTATCGTGTGTGCATCTGTTGTAGGTATGCGAATGACATCACTTTATGTCTGCGTTGCAGAGAGAATTAAACAATTTACTGTGTTGTACAGTAGTTCATAGCGTTCAGAGGTTTTCTGTCAGTTCTGCCAGTTGTCGGTTGCAGAACTCTAGGTTTATTTTTTTTTTGCTTTAAGAGTCTTCAGAAATCATGTCTGAAGAGAGAGCAGGATCGTTCCTGTGCTGGTGGTATTCAATGTGTGCAACATAACCCTGCAGGGGACTGTCGTTAAAGCAATAACCCAGCAGACACAACCCGTGATTATTCCAGGGTGTCTCAAAGCACTGTACCAAATTAACAACAAAGCATAATCAGACACAAGACTGGTCAGAAGCAAATAACAATCAGGCAGTGAAGCTTGTAGCTGGGTTTGTAATGTTGCCATGTTGCTACCATCGTGTCACTGGTCAAGAGCTGACTGCTCTAGGGTGCAGCTGCTGTTCTTCATGTCCTGCAGGATAACAAAAACTACGCAGTGTACAGTGTGTGCACAGGGCAATCAGCCACCTGGCATCATCTCATTAATGTTGTTTTTCATCAGCATTTCTAATGCTTTCTTTGAAAATAAATAATCAGCATTATGAACACCATGCCCTGGGCAGTAATATCCTACGAGGAATGACTAAATAAGATTGCTGGATCACATATTTGCTCTTACTGGTAGCTGTTGTCTCTTACAAGTTTTACATTGTGAGCGACACACTATTTGTATTCTGGGTGCCTGGTGTTCTGGACAGGTCAAGTGCAGCTGCCCTGCCTCGTGAGCTTCCTGTACGTGAGGAATGTGTGTGACTTGTGTGTTTTCAAGGCACCATTCCCCCGCTCACCAAAACGGTCGATGAGAGCAAAGACAGCCTGTCCAGCAACGAGGGTCTGAAGATGATGGTCACCATATCCTGCATCCTGGTGGGCATTGTGCTGCTCTTCGTGCTGCTGGTTGTCCTGAGGAGGAGGAGGAGGGAGCAGAGGCTCAAGAGGCTCAGGGGTAAGAGCAGGTGCCCGTGGGCAGATCGCCGTGCTCACCGTGCCCACCGCAGTGCCCGAGAACTGCTCCTGTGCCAGAGAGTGACAGGTCCACAGTACCGCCCCCATCTCTGGGATGCAGCGTCCCTACAGTGTGATTAATTTAGAGCCCACTGTTCAGCCATCTCGTAATTAAAGAGTTTTATTAACAAGCAAAAAAAAACGACTGGCTATTGAACTGAGAGATCAATTAACATTAATTAACATAGCCCTGTCTTTGTGAACTTGTCAGTGTTGTCTCATTGGTTCGTCCTTCAGGCCTCTGTTCTGGAGGTGATGGTGTAGAAAGGTGTCTGACTGTCCTCTAGTTTTAAACAAACTGGATCAAGCACATACAGGTAGTCCTGCTGGGATCACTGTCCCACTAGCTCCGACAACGAGGGACACTTCCTGCTCTACCGCCAAAGGCCTTGTCCTGAAGAGAGAACGATGTGACCGAGTGTATCCCCCGTTTGGCAATGCTAACTGCGCTGTGTTTTTGTTTGTTTTACAGATGCTAAAAGTCTGGCAGAAATGCTAATGAGGTAATTGTTGTGAATTATACATCGGCAGGCAAATTAGATTACATGGTACTATATTTAGACAGAGACAGTGATTAGGTTGATAATATGATTTGCTACTTCCCAATGCATCAAGCATGTGTGTAATTTTCAGCAGATGTCTTGTGAATTGGGAAAAAAAATATTTTGGTAAGTTTCATTCAGGAACATTCCAGATTTGTTTTTATATGGTTTTTGGTAATAACTGGTGAGTTAACATTAAGGATCCATATGAGTGTTGCAAATTCCAAGGATGCTTTATTTACCCAAATTAATTAATAATAAGAACAAGAGGAGGAGAACAAATATGTATGAATGAGAACTTAAATCTGTTGGTTTTGGAGTTGGGGAGTCGGTATCTACGTTCTGATGGGAGTAACTGGAAATTATTATTAGAAGGAGAAGAATGATTTTTGTTGGATAAAACATTGTGGACTCTCACCCTCTGGGTTCTGTCTGTTAGGAAATCAGTAACCCAGCTGACGAGATTGAGATCAAGACTAAAGTTTGACAATAGTTTAGTTGCCAGTAGGTGAGGTTGGATACTTTGAAATGCAGAGGAGAATTCCACAGTCAGCAGTCTAGCGAGGGTTTTGTTTCCCTCAAGGTGTTGGAGGACAAGATTGAGAAGGCATGCTGTCGCATCTTCCACCCCCTACCTGCCCTGTAAGATAACATAATATAACAGTGGGCGTTCAGAAGACAGTCCTTAGATCTAAACTCTTCATATTCTAGCCATTCTGCTGCACTCAGTAGTGGTGACAGGGGGTGCAGAACATGGAACTTACAATGGGCGTGCTGTGCAGATCCAGGAATAAGCCAGGTGTGGACGTGTTTTTAACATTTTAAGATTTTCATAGACATTATTTCCCCACCTGTTTCCAGCAAAAACACCAGGACATCAGATACGCTGAACAAGCAGCAGCAGACACTCCGGATGCACATTGATATCCCCAGAGCCCAGCTGCTCATTGAGGAGAGAGACACGATGGAGACGATCGGTAGGGGGTCTCAGTGATGCCCCCAGTGGCCACACTGAAACACACATCCTGTGCCACCTCGCCTCACTTCCTTTTACACACACACGGGAGTTTCAGTTTTAGTATTTATAATACATGTATATTGAGTAATTATGTTAATTTTGCTGGTTAATATGATATGTTAATGCAGACACCTACCATCTTTGGAACATGTTTGACCCTACCTAAAACTGTTTAAGAGTTTAATTAAAAGCAGGCAATGCTGGGTCATATCACAGAAGGATCTATATGAAGGTATGCAGCCAGAAGAGTCATGTTTTAAGTTCAGATTGTTTATTTTCCCTTAAGTTCTTCGCAAGGGCTCCCCAGAATAGTGCCGGGCTAGAGATAGATAGTCTGAATGGAAAGCAGTCTGAAACAATTTTCAGTGTACTCGACTCTCTGAGGAGCTCATCGATGTGTGATGATATTAAACATCAATGCTGAATATTGACGAGAGCTGCTGAACGCAGTCCCCAAAACTCTTGGTGCCGCTCCTCCTTGTGGATTTCTGTTGGTTTTGATATCCGGATATTTGACAACTCTAATTGCTCTGATTTGTTCTTTGCTCATCGCTGTGTGTAAAAACCATGTGTCTTCCTTTTTCATTCCCCCAGACGACAGGTCGACGGTGCTGCTCACAGATGCCGACTTTGGAGAGACATCGAAGCAGAAATCCTCCACTGTCACACACACTGTCCATTACCAGTCTCTCTCTCAGGCTACTGGGCCACTTGTGGACGTGTCTGATGCCCGACCTGGAACAAGTAAGTGAAAATCCACTGTCCTGGTCGGGGTGCATTCCGAGCAGCTCTGAGGGAGCAGCTGGAGGCTCTGGAGCAGCAGAGCAGCATGTGATTTTAGGGGAGGTATATGACAACACTAATCCCTCATAGCCAATGGAGACCACCTTCAGTACACATTCTGCAGGCATTATTACTGAGCACGATTGCTTTGGCATTATGTTATGAAGGAAAACCTTCTTTTAAGGTTCCTGACTGCATATTCAAGCTTGATCTGGTCATGAGCAGTCGTGAACAGTTTCGACATGTGTGATTCTTGATCTGAATGTTTGAAATTTACATTTATTAATTTTCCACTTTTCCTGGTATTTCATTAGCTGTGTGTATGTGCATGTGGTCTGTTCACAATTTCCAAGTGAGCCTGCGTTTCAGGGAGCTGTCAAAATGCAGAAAGCTTTGTTACACTGTGAACTATGCAAGATAAATACAAGACAAATACAGACAGCTCTTTACACACTGTTTCACTATGGAACTAGAATACCCTTGATTAATCTTAGGCCTCTCCTCCATCTGATGTTAACCCTGCTGTCATTCTTTGTAGTTCAAAGTGTATTAGTGTATTTTGTTCTCATTATCTTCAATTAAAGTGCAGTGTCCGTTAACAAAAATCAGAGCTCCTTTAGAAATGACACAGAGGCTTTCTTTGCCTGTGAGCAAGAAATAAAGTAATCAAACAACCACTGTGCTCCCTGAATTAAACAATCTAATGAAAAGAATAGCAAAGAGGTTGTGCTGATTTATTAAGATGTGTGACTGCAGTGGGGCCAAACCAATTAAATATTTAATGCATTTTTGCAAAAAGTTCTCCTGTTACCCAATAACCGTTTTTCAAAAGGTCTAATGATGCCTGGCACACTGGCTGTGTCAGTGAAAGTCAATGTCATAGACTATTGCATTAACAAGGAAATTACAAGCTCCCCTGCTTACAATCCGAAACCGACAGCTTTTTTTGGGGCGGGGTGGTAGCTCGTTACCTTTTGAGAGAAGAAACAGAATTAATAACAATAAAAAGTAACTCAAAATTCCTAACAATAAAAAGTAAGGGTTAGTACCTTAGTGCTTAGTTTCAGGCAGCACCTGAAGAGCTGTTGATTAGCACAACCTGTGCATTTGATAAGTTGATTGATTGACCAGGTCAGTGCTGTCCAGTGCCCTGCTCCCCTGCTGAAGAGGTGGTGCATGTTCTTCATCGCCCATAGATCCCACAGCACGCCGGAACGCCAAGGCGGGGCCGACAGCCCGGAACAGGTACGCCAGCCAGTGGACACTGAACCGGCCCCACCCCACGATCTCCGCGCACACCCTGACCACAGACTGGAGGCTGCCCACCCCTCGGGCTGCAGGCTCTGTGGACAAAGAGAGCGACAGCTACAGCGTCAGCCCGTCTCAGGACACAGGTGAGAGCCGTGTGCTTCGGGGCTGCAGGGAGCAAGGGGGAGAATTGGGCTGGATAAGGATGCCAACTATGGCCGATCAGCTTTTTTAACTTAATGGGAATTCCTGAAATTTCAAGCCGTCTGTGGTGTTTCACCAGCATACAGCCAATAACCTTTTTTTAAAACCTCACTTATAGACCAGTGCATCAACAAACGCCTTTCTTGCAACATTGTCATAGAAACTGAAATGTAGGTGAACTGATGGGTTGGATTGTGGTATTAGACAGATGAACAAAAGAGTACAGGTGGCCAGCACTGTTCTTAGAGATCTGAACCCCTTGAGCAGTCGCAGGGATTTCATGAAGGTTTTTCCAATCCTGGAAAAATTCCCGCCATGAGTGTCCCTGGCGCCCCCTCTCCCGGCAGACCGCGCACGGAGCAGCATGGTGTCCACAGAGAGCGCGTCCTCAACCTACGAGGAGCTGGCCCGCGCCTACGAGCACGCCAAGATGGAGGAGCAGCTGAGACACGCGAAATTCACCATCACCGAGTGCTTCATCTCGGACACCTCCTCCGAGCAGCTGACTGCAGGGACCAATGAGTACACCGACAGCCTGACCTCCAGCACGCCCTCCGAGTCGGGCATCTGCCGGTTCACAGCGTCGCCCCCGAAGCCCCAGGACGGGGGGAGGGTCATGAACATGGCTGTCCCCAAGGCACACAGACCGGGTGAGGCCCCCTTCTTCCGAAATCAGGGGGGCAGACTGGAGCCAGTGTGCGCACATTGTGAGGGAGCGAGCCCCCCCATCTCATTTACAGCTTAGATTAAAAGGTCATGTGCAGTCTGCACACAGCATGCAGCAGATTATACAGTAGTGTCGGCAGTAGATTATATTATAATAGACACCTACACAGGTATGATGCGTGGGAGTCATTACACTTGTTCTGGGGAGAAATTTCAGAATGCAAATGTTCCCAAATTTGAATTAAGAAATGTAGATCGCAACAGTAAAAAAATCATTTAGAACTTCTTAGATATTAAAAGACCTTTTGGAGCTCCCTAGATATTTAAAAATCCCCGAGAGTTCCTTAACTATTACAGTATGTCCCTTTCTAATTAGGCCACAGTGTTCAGTGCTGTGACTTGCGTGTTTGGTTTCCAAGCGGCCGCCCGAGTCGAGCGTCCTTCTCGAGCCCCTGCGTGCGCGAGGGCTCCCGAAGGGCAGGCTCTTCTGAAGTGCAGTTCATGTTGCACTGTTGTAATGGGCACCACATTTAAAGTCTTTTACTTGTTGTGTTGACTGTCCAAACCACTGATGGATAAAGGAGTGTTTGTATAGATTGGTGTTGAGGGATGGTGTCAGCTTTCCGGAGGGCTTGGATTTCCAAGCTCATACTTAATTGATAGCTTTGGCCAGAGCCAGCCCTGTAACGGATCTGGCGGCCTGCTCCTCGCCCCTGGCACTAGTGCTCAGGGAGAAAGCTATCAGTGGCTCGATCTAAGACGATCTTTTGTAAGTACAAAACTGCACTTTACAGTCACAAAGGAGCATTAACTCGACAGCCACTGCCCTGTGACTGAAACCGCCTTCGCTCCTCGTTCCTGGCCTGTTACAGTGTTCCACACCTCCAGTTTGTCCCACCTTCTAGTCACTTTCCGTGAGGGTTGTGTTGCTATTTCACAGAATTATGTTGACAGCTGACAGCTTTACTCTCAGTGAAAGAATGTAGATGTTCATGAACCAGATCTTCTGTAAAGTCAGTCTGACCACAGTGATGACTAACTAAAGCCCCAGAGGTCCAGGCTACCTGTTGTCGTCTTTTAAAGAGGATGGGACAGGACCATAGATGTGGCTTCTGCTGATTCTATTCAGAGTGGGTTCTATCAGAAACTGTATTAAGAAAGAGAAAATGATGATTTTCTAGCATCACAAGCTCTTAATGCACAGAACTTTATTTATTTCCATGTTAAACAATGTGTAACAGTCATATAACATCTCCTTAAAAACACTACTACAGTCTATTATCATGAGAAAGACTAAGCTAACCATATTTTCTTGAAGCATATTCAGCATTTAATATAGTACTTATACTTGAGCATGAAAGACAGAGAGAAAGTGAGCAATTTCTCTTGTATCTATTGATGTAATAGAGGGCTGTTTCCTCTTCAAGGCTAAAAGGGTAATTTGCCTCTGATATCTCCTGATAGAGACGGTTCCCTGCATGTAACCTCAGATGGGGACTGACAGCTGTCTCGCTTCGCCCTGGGGTAATGCAGGGAACGTCGGAGGGAGGGGCAGGGGTATGGATTCAGATGAAGAGAAACTGCATTATTCATCCTTCATTTTTAATTCAGGCTTTTTCCAGATTTGAGAGCCTGGTTAGCTCACATCGATTTCAAGAACCACTGGGCTGCCGTCCCAGAAATGTTGTAACGTTATCCGTGTCATACCGTGAGCCACTCGAGCTGGACGCTGACCAGAAAGGTGAACTCTCAGCTCCGTCTTGCAGACCCGAGCGTGGGTTTTGAAAAACCTGCCAGTCAAAGCCCACCCTCAGTGAGGTCTGCTTTTAAAAACTGCCGAGTGCCATACTTTACTCCCAGCAATGACAAAACTCAAACTAAATGTTTTCAGGTGATAACCTGTGGAAAAGGAGAGAACGTTCCACATAATAGAAACATCATATTCTGTAATGTATATATCATCAAGTAAAACCCTATGGTTTTTGTGTGTGTTAATCAAATAGTCCATTATTACTGAAGGCTGCCCAATCATCTCCAGATTTCTACTGTTCTTCTGTTTGCCTGAAACACAGGCTTCGTGCACTGGAAAGCGTTGCATGTGAAGTTCAACTTATTGCCTAATAGAAAAATATTTTTTTTCCCATTACAGAAAATGGAAACACATTTTTGTCTTTAAGTAAGAATTCGTCCCATCCATTGAGCTCTGCTTACTGTACTTAAGCTTTTAAACATAGTCACAAGGGCTAGACTACTGAAGAAAGAAAAACATGGCTTTTAGATCTTATTACATTTTTATTAGTGCACCTTTGTAGTCTCATAGTCAGGGTCTTCTTTCTCAGCAGCACTGTCTTTGTCAGTTCTGAGCACTGCCAGTTCGTGGCTCTGGAGTTGTGTCTTGCGAGCACTTTCTGCAAGGTTCATGATAGAGGCTGAGAGTGACCCAGGGCGCCACGCTGAGCCACAGGAGGTCCCAGGCTCCTCGGAGAGGGACTGTCTGCTCAGCTCAAACGCCTACCTGGCAAGAACAGGGTAGCGCTGAAGAACTTGTATATCCTAGTTCACGGAGTCTGTGGAGCCTTGGGGTTTTAAATGAGCTTAGTTAAGGAGAAGCAGAAGCAGGGGAGAGGTCTGGCCTCTGTCTTCAGGCTGTTGGTAGTTGAAAACCTTGCCCTGTTTCATCTTGAGGGTTTGATCGTTCTCTCTCCATTACTTCCTCCTGCCCCCCACAGTGCATCATCCAACATGAATCAGGTTGGCCCCAGTGTTTATATAGCAAGGGCTGCCTATTGCCATTACCCACTTTAAAGGACTTTAAATTTCTGTAGAAATCATAATCTCTCGTAATTTGGTTGCCTTGTAGTTGGTTTTCTAGAAACTGATGAAATTTAATTCATGAATGCATGAAGGCTGAGATCTATAGCATAATGCATTCACCCTGGAGAAATTCAATTACTGCCCAGCACCATCCATCAGTCTGAGTGGCTTAACAAAGCCAATTAAAAATGCAGAATTTTTTAAAAGCTTACCATTATAATTTGAAACTACTGTCCAATCTCAATTAAATGAAGACCCTTAAAGAAACACCCCCTAGGATTAATTCACTAGGAGAAAAGGGATAGCTGGCCCCTCCTACCGAAGGCCAGTAAATCCCCATCTAGGACAGTTCAATTTAGCAGACTAGAACTCTGACAGCACACTGAGCTTGTATTACAGTTGCAATAGGGTAGTTTAGTGACTCCATGCTTGAATTCAGACCTTTATTGGTGCTCTTGGCTCTGAGAAAAGCTACCAATGACAGACAATACATGACTGAAAGTTCTGCACCAGTGCTGCCCAGTGGACCAGGATTTCTTCTTCCTCATTAAACATTGTACGAGAGGGAGGCAGTCAGGTAAACTGAAATAAACGCAAAAAATATATAGCAATATATTTCACTCCAACACACACTGTATTATAGAAAAGCAAAATGTTCTGTTTAAGTAAAAAAAAAAGCATACCAGAACACATCTGATCACATTTCAGACTTGAGGGAGGGATTGGGAGCTTGTAACCAGTTAGTTCAGCCCATTAGACTGCTGTGGGATCACCTGAGCACTCGGAGAACATCTCTCCTGTTGGAATCTTTTCTCTCTGCTGCGGAAGCAGGCAGCCGTGATACTATGACACACTTCGCTATGACCAGAGTGGAGGCCTGTCAAGTGTGAATATCCTGCAAGCTGCTCCAGGTGCACACAAGAGCACAGTCTTCACCTGCAGCACCACAGCGTAAATATGCTGCTGCATTATCTAAAAAAAAAACATCCCCCCCCCGCTCTTGGCAGCAAAGTTTTTCGCTGCATCATGCCTCCTGGCACGTTGAGTGAAATCGAGCAAGAAAAAAAAAATACATTTATTTATAAGTAACATTTTATGTTCCAACATCTAAATATCCGGTGGCACGGTGGCTATCACTGCCGCCTCGCAGCGCTGGGGCCCCGGGTTCAAGTCCAAATCTTGGGTGATACCTGCTTGGAGGTCACATGTTCTTACCGCGTTCGTGCGGGTTTCCTCCCACAGTCAAAAGGTAAACTGGGAGAACTGTACCTGTTGCGAGTCTGTGTCTGCTGTGTCCTGCGATGGTCTGGAGTCCTGTCCAGCGCGTACCCTGCCTTGTGCCTGTTGCTTGCTGGGATAGGCTCCGGTTCCCCACGACACTGAATTGTATAAAGCAGTTAGAAAATGGATGGATACCTAATGTTAGAGACATTTTGTGCAGTAACGCAGTTAAGATTAAGAGCCATAAAGAGAACGCAGTCGAGCCAAGCCAGCGTGCCGGTCCTCTGTCCTAAGTCCACTGACACCCTTTCCGTCTCGTCTCCAGGAGGCGACCTGATGCACCTCCCCCCGTACCTGCGAATGGACTTTCTCTTGAACCGCGGCGTCGCCGGCGCCGGCAGGGACCTGGGACTGGGGCCGGCCTGTCTGGAGCCGCAGAAGAGCCGCACGCTGAAGCGTCCCGCCATCCTGGAGCCCACGCCCACAGAGCCCACCGTGCAGCAGTGGCAGCCGGGGACGGCCTCCACGCTACCCCAGAGGGACGGGGCGGACCTGGGACAGGCCGCCAAAATGAGCAGCTCCCAGGAATCGCTGCTGGACTCAAGAGGACACCTGAAACAAAGCAACAACCCTTACGCAAAATCCTACACCTTGGTATAACAAAGAGCGTGGACCGGACTGCACAAGAGCTCTACCGACGACAGACACACACACACACAAACGATCAAACACAAAGACAAACAGAGCAGTTGTACATAATGTTTCCAATCCCAAAAGGACGCGGAGAAAATGGGTACCTTTATCTTTCTTTCCACCTTATTTTTTACTTGACTAATCATTCGTTTTAAATGATACAGGATGAAGATTGCCAAAATAATTTATTTAAAATGAGAGAAGAATAATATTGAGAAAATTATGATTATTATACAAAAAAATGCAAAAACCTCAAAAAAAAAGGAGAGGAGGAAGTGTTCAACCGTCTACAGGACGTTGTCACTTTAGTGTTCTCTGTCAGAGCTAACTGTGGATCAGACGTCTGTCTGTTGTTCTTGAAAAAATAATACTGACAAAGGAACTACAAACACAAACCAGAGAAGAACGACTTGTCCGACTGTCCAATCTCCACAGATTACGTTTTTTAAAAACAATTTCCTATGGATGCATGGGGACTGAACTGAAAAATGGCTGAAAATCTGACTGAGAATTTTGTCACACACTGAAACAATACAATGTGCAGAGTTATTATTATTATTATTATTATTATTATATAAAAAGAAATCACTTTTATTTGTGGATATTACAGGGAAATTGATTTGGTAAATAAAGTCTTTAGTCATGTTTGCACACATCTTTTTTGAATTAGGAAAATGAGCCTCTGTGGATCTTTTTACCTCCAGCAGCGTCACTGATGGGCAACTGAGACTATAACTATCCTGAGTTCGGGGGGGGCAGCTGGAATTTTACTAGTGCAAAATTAATGTAGATGGTCACCTGTGTAGTAGCACGTATTATAATGAAAACATAAGAAAAATTACAAGAGAGAGGAGACCATTCAGCCCATAGAGCAGACTTGGATGTCAGTAGCTAATTGATCTGAAGATCCACTTCAACCGTTAATTTGGAAGAGACCAGGGTATCACCTTCAATACCGTGGCTGGGTAGTTCCTCCCACAACAGCCCTTTGTGTAAAGTGCCTCCTGTTCTTTGTCTGAAATGCACTTCTAGGATGTTCCTGGCCTGTTTCACTGGTCATTCTGGAAGGGTCCACCAGGCTGGCTTTGATACCTGGGAGGATTTTGAACACATGAATCAAGTTTCCCCCCCAGTCAGAACTGCTACAGAGCTGGTCATGTGTGCCGGTAGTTCCCATTCCTTTTGCTTTCAGTGCTAATTCTCTTACCCAAAGGTTTCTCTCTCCTACAATAAGGAGAACCCTGGAAAAGCCCCTTTACAATTCAAGTCCTAAATGGATATAGAAATAATCCAGATGGTAAGAGAAACTTCATTGTTGTGTTATTTCATATCACATCTGTGAATTTGCGTAGTGTTTGCATATGTAGCTCAGTCATCATGCTCTGCATTTAAGAGCTTCATTGCATCTGAAGACTTAAATGATAACTGCTAGCAAATAACTAACAGATCCTCACCAGAGCTCTGTCCAGCAGCGTCTGTGTAACTGGGCCAGTAGAGGAAACTTGATGAGTGAGGTGGAGGTGGCCAAAGCTTATACACGTACTAGAAACGGTTTCCTCTCCATCTCTCGCACAAAGAGTGGTTAAAGAAAACTTACCAACAGATGGTGCTGTGTAGTCAGTTAAAATACCTTACTTGAGGAGAGCTTCACAATTCTTTGTGTGTGATTTTAATCATATCCCCACACACCCTGGACACACCCAGATGTCTGGGGTGGTCTACAATTCCTCGATAATGTTTTCTTCTGTGACAGCAGCTGCTCCTTTGGCAGTTTTCATCTGTGCGAAGACCGTCAGGCAGAGCTACCACACACAGGGGCTTGCTTCTACTTCACACCCTTCGGAATTTTGTTAATCCGTCTTTAAGGGCTGAAGAAAAATCATCTTCTAATTCTGTGTTTATTGTGAGCCAGAAAAGGCGTGAGAGAAATTAAAAGCTTTTACTCCAAAACCTGGAGACAGTGAGTGGTCCAGTGTGTCACACATACAATTCAAATTCAGGTAAGGAGGAATTATACAACACATTAAACAACAGACACAGATTGCATATTGAGATAATTGCAAATAAGTCATTGGTACATCAAAAAGAGACCATATTTCAGTGGTGTCTTTGTATACAGGATCCCTGCTCCATCTGTATCTGTAGACAGCAAAGGAATTGGATTTCTCAGTCAACTGATTAAACTCAGGGCCTTTACCGAAACCCGGAGGGTTTTTTCCCAGTGGGGGGGGGGGGGTACTTTTAAATTAATTCAGTTAACGTTTAATTGGAGCAGTTCATTCTTTCTTCCCATAAAAATTTGAGAAACCCTGGGCTTAAGACCCTGGATTAAAAAAAAATGCTTTCTCTGCTGGTATCAACACAAAAGAAGGTTTTATAAGATACATCTCACACAGACCCTCTCTTATGTGTAGCTTCTGCTTTCAAAACTGAAGGCAGTACATACCCTGAGTCTGTGAAGTGCTGTATTATATGAAGTCCTGCTTGCAGACAAAACTGGGTCAAGAACACTGGGTTCTTCATTTGTTGTTGAACACAAGGTTATGCCTTTGCAGCTCATTATTAAGCATATTGTACCTCTAGCAGTGTATATGCTTTGCTGGGTTTCTAATAGATTGTGCATGCTCATACTGTTCACAGCAGAGATGCCTGGATGCTTAGAGGCCTGTAGTCTAATGAAATTAATGCAATAATGTTAACTTTAGCTGAAGTGCTTTTGCCTTAGATGCATCATTGTGGGGAAAACAGAAGCCAAAGACAAAAAGAGCATCTGTGTGAGAACGTTAAAACTTCAAAGTATTCAAATTTTCTAGCAAAACAATTCGGAAATCACGTGTTACACTTCTTATCATGATAACAGAGGCAGATGTAGGCTTTGATCGCCGATATGATAACATGTAATTGACCAGGATTAACATCATGCGCTTGTGAAACAACTGAGGCAAAACCACTGAACAGTCATTAGCTACACTGCAGCATAAGCAATACTTCCCCCTGCATTTCAACCAAGAGAAACGGATGGAGGATTCTGAAACAGCAAAGATGCAGCAAATGGTCAGTTCTGAATGTAACTGAAGCCAGAGACATGTTTCAGTTCACTGTGAAGGATTCTGAATGCCTCTTGGCAAAACAGCTCCTAATGTCATCCTCATTATATTAATCTCTCCTGCTATGAATCATGCTGCTTCTCCTGCTGAACCTTCTCACTTTCTCAATAGTCTCCAATCCTTAATTGTCCTATTAATTCCTCAGCTTTCAGGGATGTCACAGTTCAAATCCTTCAAGCCTCCTGGATAGGGAGGCTGAAAATTGCTTTTGCAATCCAATATCACTGATGAGGAGGACAAGCGAGTTGGATTCCAAAGTAAATTTATTACTCTGTGAGACATAACTATATACACCATCCCACTGACGTGCACAGCAAATGAAGCCTAGCTTGGGAAATTTAAACAGGGCTCCCCTCCACCATTATTAACTGTGGCCATAAATAATGTTCTGACAGGGCAGATTCTAGCTAGAAATATGGGAACATGGATTGTGAGACATCGATCGTGGGGAGGCATGGTATGAGGACTGAGGCTCGCTCAGTTTCTTTTAGTCTATATTAATTTATAGTAAGACCACAATGAGGCTGAAAATAAAAGCACCCACCTGAAACTAGAAATTAAAAGGACCAGCACAGGCACTTAATGACCTTGAAAATCGCTGTTTAAATTAAACAAACGGTCTGCTTCCCTTCTGATAGTATTTCTGTGAAGATGCAGACCTACTGTTTCAAACTGGCCATTGTAATGCAATACTGATGAAACAAAAGTTATTGTTAGAAACTCAAAAGAAAAAAGCCCAGATTGCAGCTGGATTTAAAACTTATTTTCCGGACGCAACTAGCAAATCCTCTAATTTGAGTAAATTAAATAGATAACACTCAGACAAGGGTATGATTCCCAACATTCTCCTGAGTAACTAACCAGGACAAAAACAAGGGCACGCAAGAACCCAGGTTGCTGTTCTGGATGCTGCCGGCCTGCACGTTTCTACATCGTCCTCCTGTCCTGAAAGAGCTCTGCCAGGGAGGTGGGGGACCGGGACGGGCCGGCACCAGAGACGGGGCTCTGCCAGGGAGGCGGGGGACCGGGACGGGCCGGCACCAGAGACGGGGCCCAGACCTCGCAGAATCAGAGGAGTGACTATGGAGGAGGAAATTCAAAGTGGGACACTCAGCTCTGCTCACAAAACAACTGCAAGGCATCCTGGCACATTTAATCTGTCTTAAATTTTTACTACCTCTTTTTTGTAACCTACTGCTGAAATGGTGTATAAAATAAGCATGTTTTGGGCCATGTACTGGTTAGGGTTACAATTGTCACTACAATTGAGCTAAACACATCATTTTTCTGGTTTTAAATGAAAAAAAAAAGTGTTTTCAAACTTTTGATTCTTGACAATTTTTGATTGACAGGCACACGGCTTAGCAACAGCTGCAAAACAGGGGCAAATTTCATTGTTGAGGAAATAATAAAACACTTTTCCTGCACTTAAAAGGCATCCTAAAGCACAGTAAAATACATGACAAAATGTCTAAGTGTTGTTTAAACACTAACCCTATACTTAGCTAGGGCACTTCTGGAACATTTTTCAGAAACCTCACCTTAAACCGCTGTGAGAGCTGGAGAGCAGGTCATCATCAGGGCCCCGTGTTCACGTCTGCTGTGGATCATAAACATGCCATATCAAGGTGACCGTGCAATCGCTCCACCTTCACTCGCTCTGTGGGACGAAAAAAACACTTTTTGACATAATTATCCTTCAGCCCAGGGTTTTATTTATTGCAGCTACAATTTCTGTACGTATGAATATTTACCGTTCACATTCCTGATGTGACTGTCTGTACAAGATTGTGGAAAACACTTATCAAACAAACAGAAGTCACTCAAATACCGTTGAATTCTGTCAGGTGCGGCTCTCACAAGCGGTCAGGGAGATGGGTGGGGAAACTGCTCGGTGTCGTACGGCACAGCAGAACCACAGCACAGTCAGGAAGTCGCACACGCGCCGCTTTCTTGCCATGAAAACCCGTTTCACCCCTGTCAAGTACACACTGGGCTGGGGTCTAACACGGCCTGCCCTTCACCTGGGCTGAGTGGACCAGAGAAGAAAGACCAGCCAGCGCTCCAGCCATGACTCACACGTGTCTTTCATCTGGCAGCCGAGGCCAAGTTTCACATCAGATTTCAGCTCTCCGCCAGGGTCCTGCCACTGCATCTCCTCAAGCCGAAAGTCGTCCGTCTGTCCACAGAGGAAATGGGCCTCTAGGCACCGATATTCAGAGTGGGTATGAAAAGGGAGGCTATTCAAGTACCTGAAATGAGGAAAAGCCTGTCACTGCGCACTGCAGCGGAGGAGGAGGTCACCGTCTTTAACTCCTAATCGCTCACCAGTACGACAAGCTGGTGCAAAGACATTTTCTTCCCCCCCCCCATCTTGAGTTCAGAAACACTCATCTTTGCTATCCAGGTCAGCCCCTTGGCCTGTCGTGGTCAGCCAGTTTCTTTCCGATTGTCACCACCGCAATGAAAATATTTCACTCCACCTTCTCCTTGGCGTTTGTCCAGAAATTGAGCCCTGCTGAGGTGCTGATGGGGTACATCTCTAACTCACACTGAGAAACTCCATGTCCCGTCACCCAGGAAATTAAACCCACAAGACACATTGGTTTTAAAGCCAAATGGCAGCTTAATTCTCTGTCTATTAAGTCAAATAAACTTAATGTATATAATATTAAGTTATTAATAATCATATTATGTAAATTATGTGAACTGCATGCTGTCTTTTTAATTGGACAGCTTGCCTTCCCTTTCTAATTGATTATACTTTGCTGTAACTGAAGAAATTTCACAAAACTAAAATTATTTTAAAACTTAAGAAAATAATTACTTGCAGCAATGTAGATCACTTTTCTGGTGATGTATGATCAAGGTTTGTTCGGTTCCAGTTCATTAATGTCTTAATCATTCTTATGGCATTAATCATTACGTTATTAACAAAAACACAGATTTTTCATGTTATCAGTCTATCAGAGAAGCAAAATTCTTCACAAACTTTAAACAAGAACTATTATATAGGATGGAACTGAAATATCCAAGACAGGATTTGTTGAAAAGGATTTGGATGTCCTTGTAAAGATTTTTTTTCATTAATGTATTTAGAATCTAGAGAAACAGAAACCCGAATTAAGACTGAAACCTATTCTACTCTGGGATTTCTGGCCTCTGTAAAGTAAACTAAACTGGTGAAGATGTTTTCCTTCTCCTCCAGTCTGCTGTTCACTTGGGCTGCTATTCTATGGCAAACAGAAGAACGACTTTGTGAGTAAAATGCTTTGAGATCTTTTTGGATGAAAAGCACTGTGTTCATGGAAGGAATTATGAGTTTTATGTATAGATCTACTACAGTGTGTGCACATATTGTAGGTCTAGATCTTAATTTTCTGAAGAGGGTTTTCTACTTTAGCTATATCTTTATAAAGTGATCCTCAATCTGCGACTTGCTCTAGAGAGCAGAACGGTGTCTTTCCCTACGTCCTGAGCTGGATAGCTCTTCCTGCAAAGCTGAATAGATTCAGTCTTTATTGATATGTGACACTTCGCACTATGGTGTGGTAAAAACACTGGAGCCTTCACTTACAAATTTTAGCTTACAGATTTTGTATTTACAGACCAAGTCAAAACTGATCGAGAGTTATTCCATAGCGTTTTCATTTTAATCACACTTTTGGTTAAGGATTTTATTTATTTGCTTCTAGAGATGGAGTAAATGAATATTATTTTGTTTTACTTGCTGGATTTCAGCAATTGGCCTGTTTGCTTGCTTGAGATCTGCCTCACAAAGTACTGTGTAACTGAATGAGTACTTGTGATGGGATTTAATGTTGTAGATTCTGCTGTGGGACGCACCGATGTGCAATTACATCCGAGCTCATACAGCTGAGTCGCAGTCGTATCAATGCCCAACATGTAAGACTGCTTCCACACACAAGTACGATGAAAGACCAGTATATAACAGCCATGGTCACACAACACAAAGCACATTACACTGTGTGTTCAGTCAGGAGAGCAGGCATGATATGCAAATATCACTCTGAGATTAAGACATGTATGTCTTTTTTAGGAAAGACTAAGTTTTGTCTTGGTCTCTCAACATTAACGCCAAAAACTTCAGCGTTCAACTCTTGATTTTACCTTTGACCCTGCGATGCCATCTACAGCTTGCCACAAGAGTATCCTTCTTCCACTGCGTATCACGGCTTGCTTAAACACATCTGGTGCGGAAATAATGATGCATAATAAGTGATGAGCTCGTCCCCGTAACTCCACTAAACTTAGGACAGTGATAGTACAGCAAAACCTATGGTAATCCTCCTCACCCTGCCGACCTCACATTTTCTAATACCAGTAAAGTTTGTGTTCTTACCTTTGCGGAGTGATCAGACGTACTTTACCGTGAAGCGTCCCTGCTACTGCTCCCATTGTGCACATGTTCCGAGTTGACTATTACCAGTGAGGCTGCTGACCGAACCATAACGAGAAGCAGGGGGGGTGTGTGACCCGGGTCATTTATGTTGGGTTGGTTAGGTCAAGTGTGGTTGATTTCAGTTGTGCTTATACAGAAGCGATTTCTTATTAATGTAAAAATATTTTTTTTTTTTCTGTGGGATGGGTCCGTTTAATATATAATAGCGTCGCTGAGGACCTGTAATCACGCCGTGTGAGATAGGCTAGAAGTACCCAGCGGGGTACTATGGGACTTTAAATCCGTAATTTTGGCCCTTCTGGGAAATTCATCGCTAAATATTGTCGTGTTACTGTCGTGTTGCAGCGACCTTTTGTTCATTTTTGTCTTGAAAGTTTAAGCTGAGTGTTTTCCCTGCTTTCTATTTCTACAAAAATCATGTTGTGTTTTTAATCAAAAACAAAAAGTTAAGCCTTGGTTTTCTCCTTTATACACCTTAGTGCTTGTTTATAACTGTGGGGAAATCTGCTACTCTAGGGACACAGGGGCATCGTAGTTGGTCCAGGGCCTCAACACTCCTCTGTCACCCATGCTTTTGTCAAGATTAGATAACTTTAATATTTTACCTTTTGGGGTATCTTTTAAATTCGCAGTCCTGATCCTGGAGTACTGCTGCTTCTACTGGTATCCCTTAACCGCCAGTGCTAATTGGTGAAAGTATTCGATGTGCTTGCTAGTTGTGCCTTGCTTCTCTGCCGTCAGGCCCTGGCTTGACTGATGCCCCAGTACAGTGGTGCTAAATCCGAAGTAACCCCTGTGGCTCGTGGTTTCTGCTCCAGCCAAGTTCTTTAGCAGAGGATATTTTATTTCAGTTTTCTGTTAGAGCCATTCTTTTAACCTGAACCTTTACCTGAACCTTGTTTTTATTACTTAAAAGCAAATTCTAGTTATGTGCCTGATGCACATGCAGTTGCATGTGTGACAGTACCTGCAGTGTATCTGCATGTCCCCTCCACACCAGCCTGTAGGATTCATGCTGGACTATCAATATTTTCATTATACCCTGCAATATCGTTTCATGACACAAATCCTCTTGCAATACGGTATGAGGGACTCAAACACTGCTGAAGGGAAGGCCGATCTGAAAGAGAGGGAGGTTTTACGTTAAATCTCAGCCAGTCCAAAGAACACCCATGGTCCTGTCGCTCAGCAGAAGAGCTGATGGAGAAATTGGGCTCTCTGTCCATATTCTCTGACTGTAGCCTAATTATCATGTCCAACATCTTAAGAAATCTGGCACGTTCGTATTCTTCAGAGAGTGATACGTCATTAGCCGAGTAGCTATTTTTACCCTGCTAATTAAACTTTAAGATTTTCTCACTTCAAGATACCTATACATTTTATTCATGAAAATAAACACAGAGAGATTGTCCTCGTCCACAACAATGTGGGGCACTTGGCTGAAACTGCAGAAAAATCGGAGTCTGTGCCTGTGGCTCGTGTCGGGAGCAGTGCCACGTGATGTGAAGAAACTTCAGCTGTGCTCTGCCAGACCTCGGGCTTGCCCTAAACTCCTTTTCTTTCGTTTCCGAGCCTCTGTGAAGCAGAGTAGCCACTTGGAAGAAAATTATGTTGAGATTTTGCAAAAAAGACAGACCTGTTCTGGAGGCAGTACTAAAGCCACTACTCTGTCCCTCTCTGAAGAATCATAACTCAGGCTTGATTGTGTTCAAAAGAGATGCATTTTGCTACCAAGCCCCAGCACTTATCTTTGCTATGCAAAGATCATAATTAAACCTAGAGGCTCCTTGGGCTAGAGTTTCCCTGGCACTCTGTAGCATTAAACAGACAACGTATTGGTGACTCACCTTTTCTTGGGGTGCCGGTCTATCACAGAGCCCCCAGTTCACCAAACCTTACACCTCTGAGCTCTGCCGCTAGTCAGCAGCTCAAGTCCTGATTCTACCACACTTTTCAGCCACAAAAACAAAATCATCCTGCTCTGTGATCCTGGAGTACTTGTTCCGAAGTGAGTTCTTTCATTCGTACAAGCCCAGTGCACTTGTGTCAGTTTGGAATCAGCTGCACTCCTTCTGGCTGTCATGTGTTTTGGCCTCGGGAAGGACCAGAATAAATAATACTTTCTAGCTCACTGGCGCTGACCCCATGGACAATCCTGAAAGTCATTTTTCCTCACATTGAGCTTTCAGTGTTAATGGAGCTGAAGTTCCCAGTGGCTGTCTATGACCATTAGAAATCTGCTTGCTGTAGTAAAGTAAAAGTTTCTGCCCTGCACTTAGGCCAATGGCCTCCAGTGATGAATGTATCACTAAATCGTGATTGCAAATGAGCGTGTCTTTTTTCACCTCTGCTGAACTGGCAGTTTCAGGCTTGCAATACAAAATATTGATGCACTGTCTTGCTGAAAATACCAAAACCTGTATACAATGCTTCAGTAAGTTCTCTGAACAATTGATCTGCAGGGCAAAAGGAAACAATGCTTGTTTTCAATAGACTGGTCTAGTGAAAGTGCAGTCATATCTGTGCACTTGTTCCCTATTTCTAAGCAAAAGGAACACATACTGTGATAACATGGTGACATCTTAATGTATGGTAGTTTATCAAAAGCATTCTTCTATATCTTGCAGAAATTAGATATGCACTTCTTTTGAATCTTCCAGAAATAATTGTGAGCTGAAGGAAAGACTCCACATATTGCATGAGGGCCCTGAAGGCAGTTATACTCCTTTATGGTTTTCTGGTGTTTGATGAAAAAAACTGCGACACAAGTTGAACACATAAGAGTAAGACGACAGCAGATCAGCGACCAACAAACAATATTCACCGTGTTGCTGAAATGCACGTCACTGGAGGCGCAGTGAAATGAATCATGACACACCTACCTGATCTCCAGACAGCATTTCAGTTCAGGCAGCAGAAGTGTCTCTTTTCAGATGTGGAAACAAACAGTGGTTGTTGATTTACTCAACACGATCTGTGATACTGCTATAAAGAGCATTACCTAAGAGCAGACAGTAAGATCCACAGAGTTTCACATGCTACTTCAGAAAGGGTGGGAGAAGTTAGAATCCTAAAGATTAGGGAAGATGATCAGTTAAAATCCATTTTGCACTATAAAGCACCTGAATGTTGAGCTTTATTACAGTACCACCGTGTCCATCCATGATTAATCCAGTGAAACCACCTTGTCATTCACCATGGGCAGCAGATGATGATGCTGTGATTATTCCATGCCAGTAGCTGACAGCTCAACTCTGCCATCTGCCCCCAGTCAGGAATCTTGTCTCCTTGAATTTACTGCTCCATGCAGAGGCAGCTCAGACTGCCAGAGTAGGGTTTAAAATCTTTGAAGAGAACTAGAAGGGCTGTAGGATCATGCAGATACAGTGCTTTGGAAAAAAGTTGGTATATGGAAGTGAAAGACATATAGAAGGGCAGTCTTGTTACCCAGGCATGGCTCTATGTTTATTTTACAAGAATCCAAATTCAATTTGAAACAAGCACAAAGAAAAACACTGACTTTCAGCAAATACCAAATGGCCTGCATGAACGATAACCCTGTCGACCTTGCACAGCGAAGAACGACAAGTCAAGACAAATCCTGAACTATAAAATAAGCAAGTTTTCAAACCTGTTTTGCTTGCACACACTCACTCGAGAACCACTGTCTGTCCACCTGAGGCAACGGGATGTGCAATGTCAGTCACTGACTATACTTGAATGAAATAATTACACATGAAGGTAGAAACAAACACTGTAATTCATAGCTTCATAATTTATTGATACAGCAGTCAAATCATAGGTTACATGGTTTCACAAACGCATCATTGTTCGAATGGGCAATGCCTTTGCTTTCTTCCCCCATTGAGTCCATATGGTGAGATTTCGGTCACATGCACCGCCAGGCCACTGTGGGGAGCAGAGCTACAGATCCACCTCTAAGACTTGACGTCCTGCTTCTTCTTCTGGAACTTCCTGAACTGCGACTGGATGGCAACGGCAGCCTTTTCAGTCTCTGGCGCTTCCATGTCTATATCAAAGTCCTCTGGGACCTCTTTCTTCGACGCATCTAGCAGGGGAAAACAGGACACATGTAACAAACAGCAGGTCTTCTGGGGGCTCTCTCCTACCTCTTCTCTTAATTAATTTACTTAACTATTTAGATAAGAACATGGACATCAATGGGCATTTAGTTCTTAATGAAACACTAATTGAAAGGTTCTTGTAAAGCCTGCAAGAAATCCAGCCCTCGAAGACTGGATTTAATATGCATTATGAAAAGGCACCATGCTTCATCGCAGGTCTTTAGTGATGAGTCCTTTGTGTAGAAATTCCATTTAGGTAGGCATTCTGCTGCTCTGGAAAGAACTGATCAAGCCTTCTGCCATTTGTTTATCTCCTGTGCTCTGAGTGGAAACTTGGAGTGCTCTACCGACTCTTCTGCACATTCCCTGGGGAGCTGCAGTTTGTCTGCCTAGCCACATGCTAGACCAGTGGCTTTGCTTTGTGGCAAACCAGAGGTTTGTGAGCAGATCTAGGATCTTACAGGGACGTAACATTTTGAAACAAGCTTTCAATGAAAATCTTAAAAAATGGGAAAATCAATGCTACACTTCATACAAAGATGTATAAATACTGAACTGAACAAAAAAACTGAACGTTAGGAATTCAGGATAATGGCTCCACATAGTGAACTGCCAATGAGTTAAAATTCTCCTAACGGTGCAACAGCATTAAGATTGTTCCTCTCCTGCACTGTCAATTTCTCAGCACTTTTTAATTTGGAGGAAAGACAAGAATGAAACATGCATATTAAATGAAAAAATCAAGATGTTAATTTTAATAAAAGCAGAATAACATCCTCCAATACTAGTCATGCATTGGGAAGAAAATAGTTTTCTCCACCTGTACCTTCCTGTGATATCGAGGTTTCTCAAGGTCCAGATGAGACAGAGCTACAGAATGGCCTGTTCCACCTGCCAGCTCAGCCTTGCATCACTCGCTATGTTAATATCCTGCCCTGCTCTCGTAATGGAATACATCTGAGCAGCTGGAGTTTTTACGTGATTTAGGGTATAATTCAAACCTACAGGCTTATCTTATGCAGATCAACAGCAATTGTAGCACCACAGAGGGGATTGCTGATTTTGGCACTGTAAACAGCTGGTGTAAGCCAGGCCCAGCAGAGACAGTTAACTTCTGAGCTCAGCACCACACAAAAGATGAGGAGAATTAACTTAATGTTCTTAATGTGTAATCAAAACCTGCCCAGAAGTCCCCCGACTCCCAAAGAAGAGTGGAGACTGATTCCACCTGCTTTCTAAACTTGCTTCTGTAAGAGGAGCCCCCTGTTGTTCAATTGATCAGCATTAAAAGAGCAGGAAAGCCAAACACTGATCATGCAGGAATGGAATCCTTTGTGTTTCAAAGTGCTTCATAGCAGATTTCAGGGGAAATAAACTGCCACATCAAAACCAGCTTCAATCTTCACATTATTTGTCTTTTGGTTTCTGAAGCTGTAATATGTGACATTTTCATCTCTGCATTTCAGCTATCCTGACAGCCTGGCAGTTCGATTCTTCATGCTTTGATGGGATCTAGTACTGATAAGGTTTTGAAAGTATTATTTCTCTTGTCCAAAATCCGAAATCAACTCCAGGAGTGCAGAAGCTAGAAAAGGTCAGGCCCAGTGTGGTACTTGGTTCCTCACACCCATAAGAGAAAGAGAGAGATTAAAAAGGACTTCACTGGTGTTTTTTACAAGTTACTCCTGAGCTAACCTAATGAGTCACATTGAAATAAGAGCTGCCAAAAGCAAGGTCTTTTGAAACGGGAGTCTTTGTCACGAACAGTTCTTTTCGGGCCCTATGCAGACGACACAATCCGGAGTAGTGAGGAAACACTGGGGAAAAAGTCATGCAGGAGACGGGAATGGAGACAGGGGGTGTGTCCAGGGGGTTGAGTCCGGGGCAGACAATCCTAGAAAAAGTCCAAATGAGAATCCAAAACAGAGCAAAAGTCCATGGCCAGGTGATCCATCAAAAACAAGAGATTAAAAACTGAAACCGGGTCAGAACCGGCGGGAGGAAACAGGACCAGGCGCTTCCAGGTCCCAGACTCGCATGATACGGAGATCAGATGCAGAGCCTGGATTAACATCAGCGCCTAGCTTTTAAGGGGGGCTGGAACGGGGCTAAAACAAGGAACAGGTGTGGGGAATGAAGCAAACAAGGAAGAGCCGGAGCACCCCTAAGGAGGAGGGACTACAATCGTGACAGTCTTTAATGGAGGAGGCCATAGGCTTTTGGGCAATGTGAACAGGATGCAGAAGATAAAGATACATGTGAACCAATGAGCACATTTCCTCATGGATTCTCAAACTATGACCTCCATCTGCCAAGTCTGATAGAATCCTTCTTCCTTCATTGAGCAATTTTAACCTACAATAGAACATCCATGTAGCTGATCTCTTTTGAAGACATCTTAAGTCTCAAACACAGATAATCTAGAAGCTTTTAACTCTACGAAATTCTAAGATACAAAATTACAAATATAGTCATATATAAAACTGCACTGGCAAACGTTTGTAGAATTATGTAAGTGTAAAGTACTGCTGATTAAAAATACATAAGTGGGTCATAAGCATTTTGAGTTGCGAGTCATTAAGTTGCTAATTTTAGGATATGATATCTTTTAATCTCAGAAGGTGCAAGAAGAAAAGATCAAGACAAAGTCCACTCCAAACCTTATGAATACAGAATTATGTATTCATAATTCTGTTCATAAGCACTCCATTGATTTTTTAAATACATTTGTTTGCCAATCTTTTAATTTAAGTTTACATTTGTTACTGATTAATCAAATTTTTGTTATTAGTTTTGAAGTGCAGAATTATAAACATTGTTCTTGCTAGTAAAGTGAGTGTAATTAAGACAGTGAGGTTTATGGCTTCTTCTTCCAAAGAGAGGTTCAAATACAGTACAGGAGAAGAAACATGCTTCCCTTTAATCTGAAATCCCTAGCCAGCATGTGATTATTATGCAATTAAAACCTTAACAAATGGCATGAGTGAATGTGCCTGCCAAGTAAGTTACAATATTGGTAACCATATTACCCAGTCTGACAGTGATGAGAATCGTACCGCATCTGTCAATGCAATGAATATTGTCTAAATATTGCAAGGTACTCGTTTTAGACTTGTGTTACTGTATGTATTCATGCATGGATGCTCGTTTATTAATATTTCTTTAAAAGAAGGTACCAGGCCTCACGGAGCCCATGTTTTTCTCACTGGAAGACAGTTCTGATTTGGCAGGGGCTGGCCCAGAATGTTAACAAGCCAGTATCCTCCGTGGAGTTCCTCCTCAGCGCAATCGGAGTGCTGTACTTATTGAGTGAGGACTGATGATGCTGGCAGGGCAGCATTCCCACTGCACTGGAAGCAGCAGAGATTAATGACCAAGGTCAGACAGCAAAGGCATTTCAAGTGTTTGGGGGGGTTCAGTAGGTGCTTTCCAATTTTATTTTGATGTAATAAGGTATAAAGTAATCTATAACATCAAATGGAAATCCTTTAAGACTAAGGGTGTGTATGTCAGAGGTCTGAAGTGTAGCTTGCATTATATGTATAAAGATACACTGAAGACTGATTTCTCCCTGACTCTTTACACAAATAAATCAGGCTGTATTTATTACTTCCACAAGCTCAGTTTTGTCATAACAGAATAATACATTAGAATGGCCAAAGAGCACTGTAAGACTCCTCCTGTATCTCAAAGTTTTTTTTCCTACATGAGGCAACACCCCTTGATACAGCTGGAACTCTAGGACCCTTGAGAAGGCAGATGAGCTGAAATTCATTTGTGAAAAAAGTTAAAATGCTTTTCTTAATGTGCAGGGTGAGTGCCCAAATTAACACTGCACTTCCAAATCTATCCCTATGAATGCACTCCACGCCAGGATCAGATCTGTGCCGTCCCATTTCAGGATCACGTGTTTTTGTACAACAGTCCCATGTGGCGGACAGGCATGTGAGAGAAAAATCAGCTAACACAAGAGTGTTGTACAGTGTACAAGGTGACTACAGGTGGAGGAAGATTGAGAATGTTTCAAATAAAAGAAGGGCTTTATTGCTTTGGGAATACGTCACATTCTATCAAAACAACCTCCCTACTACAGAAAAACAAACCAGTTTTGTCACAGTTGTAGACTTTTCAGTTCAAGTTTGTCCTTATTGCAATGGGACTCAAATCAAATCAGAGGGACGGCAATTGAATTCTCCTTCTGCAGACTTTATTTCCCTACAGATTAAAATCAAAGGACAATACACCTATTCATCTTTGTAGATCAAACCCAAGCCCAACCCAGAACTGTCCCTGCCAGAATGATCAGCTTCTTGACAGCAGTGCTGAAAGGTGTAAGGGCAAAGTTATCCCCAGAGCAGCCCGAAATTTCTGAAATGACTCTTTCAGAAAGTCCTTCCAGTTCCAGGTGATCTAGGTCCAGTATAATGCCTGCACGAGTCTTCCTCCTCTTTACACTGGATGTGAATTCATCAGAAGGACAGGAAACAAGTCTGTTGGCTCATCTATTCTGCTGGTTGCTGTAGCTAATGGAATTGGGGATCTTGCCTCGCTGTTTCACAGATCCTGGGGTATCAGCTTTGATCTGGCTGGGTAGCTTGTTCCAGACTCCCGCCACCCCCGCCACAGTAAAATGTCTCCTTTACTCAGTTTTAAATTCACCTCTTTGTAATGTCTACCTGCTGGTTCTAAACAGGTCCACTGTGCCTTTTAGGATTTTGAATACTTGTATCAAGGCTCCTCGTGGTCTTCTCTGGTCAGAGCTAAAAAGTTCAATTGAATCAGCCTGTCAGTATACGACATTCCTTTAAGCCCGGTGTAGTTTGTCTTGTCTGGACAGATCTTTGTGGAGACCAAAACCATACACACTAGTCTAGATTAAGGCATACTAGTATATAGTAAAATACAGGTGGGTAGCTGCGTCAGCATGCGTAGGCTGCAAAGGAACAAGTAATAGGTTTATTCCATGCTGAAAAAAAGAAGAAAGAGAACACATCGTTTCGGCCGTGGAGCCTTCTTCAGGTGTGAGAGAGACAGGGCCATATTGTAAAATATATAGTATATATAGTATAGTGTATATATATAAAATATATAGTATAGTAAATTACTAAATACTCCTTTAAACATTCTCTTGGTTTAAAGTCTAGCTTAATGTTATATAGTTATTTGCTTTTTAATGCTGCCCCACATCTTCTGTACAGAATGTAAATGTGTCAACACCTCAGTCTTTCATAAGTAGCTTCTTTAGGCACAGCATTTTCCATTTTGTATGTATTGTTTGTTTTTGCTACCTGCATGTCTTTATTCATTGTCTGCCAGGCGCTTACTCAGTCATGAATTTTACCTAAATCATTTTCATCTTCCTTTGATGCTTTACAGTATTTGTTAATCCTCCTGTTTTCGGATTGTCTACAAACCTGACTAAATTACCAACTAAAACTGAAACAACATCACTGAATTGCAGAAATGAACAGATACATTCAAAGCACAGTAAATTGCCTTTCAGAAAATAGGACTCTAGATGGGTATATTCTGGTGTTATTGGCTATTGATGCAGATATTGGCTCACTGGTCCAATATCACGATTGGTTTAGCAAACAACTTCATGATGCGGCTCCATACCCAGACAGCTGGATCTGTCTGTAAATCTGTAAGTGTAAATCTGACTCCAGAAGCCTTTGATGGCTGCCTTCATCTCTTCCAGGTTCAGTAGACACACTGTTCACAATTTCAAGCTCTGACTTGTTACATACAAGAGAATCTCTAAAACTGTTTCAGCCAAGCCTGAACTACTGAGCCTATATAGTAGGACCCCTAGCACAGACAAAAAATCAGAACTCAAGTAATTTAATTAAAGTAATGCTTTAGAGCTAATGGGAGGAGGCCTAACTAATTGATTGGAGGATCTGAGAGCCATTTTATGGAGAAAACCAGTAAAAGCAATAACGTTGCTGGGTAGGTTGTTCTAGACTTCAACTTCCTTGTGTGAAAAGCGCCTCCTGTTCTCAGTCTTGGTGCACTTTCCCTGTACTTCCCAATTTCTCAATATCCTCAGGGTTTACTGCTGATCCTTAAGAAGTCTATTGGACTTGAACAGGTCCTTCAGAATTCGATTCCTACTTGAAGCTCTCATCTCAAACCATATGTTGTTAAAATGGTAAATACTGAACTGTACACTGAGTACCTTGGACAAATCTACAACAAATTCTTGAGGAGTTCAGGCAAAAAGGAAAAGTCTAGAGCCTTTTACTCCCAATGTGCAATGGCCTTTTTTGTTCAAGAAAATACTGTACACCCCAACAGTGTCACAACTGGGAGATATTATACTGTATATTTAAGAACATGTTTCTTTTTAGAGAAAAATAAATACTTGTTTAATTTCATTCTGAAATGATCAGTAATGGATCTAAGAGACCAGAAGGTCTCACAGAAGGAGTAAGGACAACTTGGCTTGACAGTACGTTGAAAGGACATTTAGGGCTGAGATGGAGCTATATACCAATTAATTTTCTTCTGACAGTATGGGCCATCTCAAAGGATCTGATAACACTTCACACATAGGGAGAGACCCCTTTCAGCCACTGAGGTGCAGCTCCACCTGGGTGAGGTGAGGCTACCATTGTGTCCAGCAGATCAGATGCAGGAGTGAGAAACATCTTCACCATGTGAATCGAGACAAAGTTTAGGGAGGCCAGACTGTAAAAGCCCAGACTGAAAGGGAGCCAGGGTGTGCTTTCAGCTCATGCAAAACAAGTCAGAAATCGAAGGCACTGGATTTTCTTTAATTGTTGCAATTAGAGCCCTGAGTCTACAATTCAGCTGGGGGCTCCTTAACCCAGCTGCATTAATTCACTCAGACTAGGCACTTAATTTGGCAGGAGTTCAGTCCGGTTCCCCAGTCCAGGATGTTATTCTGCCCAGGCTGTCTGCACCCAGGCCACTTCCCTGCTCTGGCCCAGCCCGCCTGCAGCAGTGCAGGCAGCTCTCCCTCTCAAAGGGGGCTGGAAAGCAGGGGCTGAATTGCTTACCTGGCTCTTTAATCGTTAGTAGTCATAAAGAGGAACTGCATTGATCCAATTTTGTAAAAAGCTTGTTACATGAAAAAAAAAATACAGTTCTGAAGTCTCTGGTGCCTCTTCCACACTTTTCAATGTGTCCTGCTTGTGTCCCAGCAGCAACTGCAGCCTCTCATCTGTCCTTCTGCTTTCTTGCTCTCCAAGCCAGCTGTTAGAAACTCTGGGATCAACCCCAGGTGGGTCAACACCTGCGTCTCTGAGTGCCCAGGCAATGACTCTTCTCCAAGTAAGCAGCTGGCTCGGAGATCAGGAAAGGATCCAGGTGCAGTGCAGAGATTTCAAGCTGCATATTTATCTCCTTCTGCATCTCATATTTTCTGAAGTATCTCCAGGGAGTCCATTTTAAGACCGAATATTAACCTTACTCTTATGAAAATCAATAGTTTTAAGAAAAAAAGGAATGTAAGGTTCCTTCTATTGAAAGATATTTGTTCACATTCTTAAAACAAACAAACGTGATTTTCAAACTGGAATTCAATGTCTATAGCCCTGTAGGAGCCCGTTTTTCATATTCTCTCCAAAGAGGGTATTTCCTTTAGTGTGAAATAACTGAGGTTCCATTACCTTGTCCACTGGAAGCTTTGCTGTTTCCTCCAGTAGCTCCGGATCCTTGTCTCTGAAATACACAAAGGTCTAATTTCAACATTACTGTCTTTTTTAAGTTATTGCAAGCTAATTGAGGCAAAAAAAGGAACAGTATGGACACCTTTTAGTTTGAGATGGAATTAAGTAAAGTTTTTGGAAATACTCCAACCTTCTCTTAAATGAAGGGCATGCTGGCCTTCAGTAAAACACGACTGTTTGCATAGTCTGCATAACCTGTTCCAGATCCAGCCTGAGCGGCTCATGGTGACACTCCTTTGTGCATAATTTATTTTGTGTTTTTTGGCACAAGATGGCACCTACAGATCCACCAGAACAAGACACCCACAGCTCCTGTGTGTGTCCCTTTAATATCAGTGCTGCCTTCAAAGCCAGAATAGATTAAGCTGAGAGGTTAAGCTCACTGCTTTCAGCTGCAAGAATGGCAGAATTGCACAAACAGTTATTACATTATGGGATTTGGTTTTGTATACATTTTTGAAAATGTCAGTTCATGATAATTCGGTAAAGGGTCCAAAAAAACTTGCCAAAGCAACCTCCACGGCAGAGGTCTGAAAGATTGAATGATTGGTGCAGAAAGTGATTCAGTTTGGCTACCTTCTCTATCATGGATGCCTGTAATGTAGTCTGGTTTGCCACAAAGATGAAAAGTATGCAGCACTGAAGTTAATACTGTATTCCTCATTTTCATTCTAGAACGCCTTCCTTTCTTAGATGTGTTTTTGTTTGAAGTAAAATTTAAAAAAATATTTTTCATTCATCGGAAGATTTATTGATTTCTACAGTACTGAATATCTACAAACTTTGGCTCACACTTTGTAATTTATCCCAACAGTACGCCAGAAATTGCACAGCAATACAGTTGTAGGATTTCAAGACAAACTCATAGTGGATCTAGAATTTTGAATGGGTAGAGTAGAGAATGGAAAAATACTCCAGAACATCCCTTATAAGGAAACCTGTATTTGTTAAGAGTTTACAAATAGGAGACAAGGTTTACTGTAGGAAGACCTGGTGTTCATCCTGTTATAGGCTTTGACAAAAAGGTATTGCAAAGGCATTCTCTTTGCAGATAAATTTAAACACAGAATGAAAGAAAACAGACTTGCAATGTTGTCCCATTCAGAAGAATCTAAACCATTTGACTGACTTACACACGTGTAATTCAAGGCAATTAAAATTAAGAGATTTCAGCACTGAAGTAAACTGCCTATTACAGCAGAAAATTGGGATGTTACAGAGTCTTGTAGAAACCAGATTTGAGAGATATTGCTAGAAACAATTTAACCATTTGCTATGCAGAACCAGGAGATCGGGGATGTGTTTTTGCTGCATAAGGAGACTGAAAACACAGAATGATGATGATTGTGCTAAGACATTCAGCAAGACCAGACCTTTCTGTGACCCACAGACCAGTGACTGGGTGCTCCATATAGAACCCAGTACAGAAAGCAATGATCGAAATGGGCAGAAGGAAAAGCAAACCCGTCAATTACATTCCAACTGGCTTGTAAGCACCCCCGAATACTAGTCTGCATTCTGTACTTATCCTCTATAATTCACTCTCCTTAATAGAGTACATAATACTGTTCATTTTGCCCACAATCCCTGACAACCTTATAAAAACTTTAAAAAGTATTTAGAAGAGCCCTAAATATATTTGCAAGATGCCTCCTGTCACGTAATTCAACACAGGTGATGTTAAGGGATTTTTCATTAAACATCTTGTCCCTAACTTGCATGAGAGCAAACCTGAAGTTTCAGAGTGCTTAATTTGTTTAAGAAGGTATTTATTTTAAGTCATGGGGATTTTCTTTAAAGAAATACCTGCTAGGCCTGCAAACTTCTGAACACAAAAGCACATGCTGGTCGTATCTTTTCTTCAATAAGACTGGTATCTGTGTTCACATCTCTTCCTTAACTACAGTAGTTCTGATCAGCGTTGGAGATGAGGGGGGAATTCTCCAATTGAAGGGGAAAGGAAAACTCTGTGGGAAAACCGAAGAGCCAGAGAGACAAACAGTGGTGTTGGGTGGATGGACAAACCACGGATGTGTTCTTGCAAATTAACTAGAAAGGATAGAAAAAGCAGACCATCACTAAACAGCTGTAAAAACCGTCTTACTGTAAGGGTTCCAAGATCCTCCTGGTGCACCTTGGAAATGCAAAAATCTCATAGCCCATTGTCCCACGAGACAAGATAAATTGTCACAGAGACTCCATGTTCTTGAAAGATATTTGGACTGTTATATTCTGATGCTTTAATAGTATATCATAGTTTTGTTTGTGGATGACAGTTTGGAAGAATGGGCTCTTTCGCCTTTGCCTCCTCTTCCTCGGATGCTCAGTGGACCAAAGAGGGAACATCTTCATCCTCGGCTTCACACCAGTTTCTCTTTTTAATGCAAAAAGATTTGATACTTTGTAAATCCTCTAAACAAAACTGATTGCAGACACATGAAGACGTATTTATTTTGCATGGACATTTGTTAAAAAGACAGCCAGTGGTGTGCTATATAATCAGACAGTCGAAATCTGTTTGTGAACCCGCCTTGGAACTTTATATGCACATTTCCTGCTGATAAAAGCACTAGAGTGACAGGCATGGACTTTACTTCAAACATTGCCAATCTAGTTCAAAGAGAGTACAAGCTTTTTTCTATCTATCAATCCTGAGAATTGAACTTCTGCTGTTCATGCCTAAGAGTCAGGGATATACCACTAATTCTGCAGCACGGCCATGTCGTGGAGAATCCATTAACTTAATTACTGTAGCAGTGCACACCAGGAGTCCACGAGACGCTGTGCTTGTGCAGATTTAAGAACTATTCTTTCGACAGCAGTGGCAGGAAGAATGCTGCACATCCAGTTCTGATGTACCCATCGATACTGCGCATAATTCCTTTTTTGTAGCTCAAATCCCATATAGTTTGTTTAAATCAAAGCTAAAAGTTCAGAGTGCACTTCAGGCTGTCGTTGTGTGGGCTCTGTTAAAGAGCACGCTGTGTTTCTGCAACGGCTGGAGGGAGAGAAGAGTCGGCCTCCTGCTGTTCTGTGGGTGCGGGCGGAGGAGGGGTTCTCCAGACACCGAGGTGACAGCAAAGAGCAGCGCTGGCGTGGAGGGCAGAGCGAGAGAACCTCACGGAGCTCAGGGTGATGCTAATCACACTTCCCTCGAGATGACTTCAGATAGTTCTGTAGTCCAAATGCAGACCTGCACACTCATCATACGGAATAGTTAACAAAATAAACTATTAATAAACATTAGGTTTTAAAGCTTCTGGCAGAGGGATTATCAAAAGCTCTAGAGGATAAGCAGATGGGTTTTTCTTCTTCTGCCATGACTTGAATCTTAATATTCCCTCCCTTTGTTTTCTGCAGTTGTCTTAAACTCGAAGAGGGAACATCGGGTGTAATTTGGATCATAATGCATGACAGTTTATCATGCTCTGCAAAAAAGCTTTGCATAATTGTTCCCCAAACACATGTACAGTATCTCCCCAAGTTGCATTAAGTCATGACAGATTTGTGCTGTTTGACACCCAGAGCCTTCAGTGTTCTTTAGGGGTAAAAAGAACAAAACTGCGATATAAAATGGGAAGTTTCGTCATCCTAATCAGAGCAATTTATGAATTATGGGTAATTATACTTTTGCTTATTTTGTCCACTCAACACTGAAATTGTTAATAAAGCTTTTCCTAGGTCAACGCCTCACTTTCCTTCCTACTTTTTTTCTTAATTGTAACGTGAACATCTTCATTCAAGGCAGAAGGGAAGTTCAGTAGCTGCACATGTTCTGATTGCTCTGCTCCCTCCTACAGCAGGAAGACTGTATATTCCCCTGGATTCAGCAGCAGACCACACTATTATAAAGACGAAACGGCTCAAGACAAACTTAGTCACGGCTTCTCACCTTGTGCCTGCCGATCACTTCGCTGTTATCTACTACTGACAGTATATGTCCAGCACGACCAGAGCCCAGCGACAGGCATCTTCCATCCTCTCGGGCTGAAGCCCTGCAGGCTTGACAGGTACCTTCCAGTCAGCAGCACACAGCTCGGCTGTTCTGACCCACTTCCCCGATTGTTCAGTGTGTAATGGGGATCGGGGGCTGCTGTGCCGCCACAAAGCCGTTTAAAAAGATGTTTAAACCACACATCCCGTTCTCCCCAGTGGGCTGGGCAGTTTTCGAATAAGTGCTGAAGGTTAAACCACCGACATGCGCTCTTCTTTCCTGGTTCTCCAACTGTTGCATTGTTGGCTTGTCCAATATTGGCTCAGCCCGCATGAAAGTAGCTTCCTACAGTGGGTCAGAGGACATAGATTGATTTTGTATATTCTGGAAATTATTTAGTATTCAGGTTTTACTTTACTTATCCTTTATTTCTTCTAAAAATAATGGTATTGGGCAAATATACCACAAATCCATATATAATTAGAAGACCAAAAACAATTATCATCACAACTCTTTGTAATTCTGAATATAAATCTTTTCAAAGGCGGAGAAATTACATGCATCAGACTGTAAAATGCGACAAATATTACCAGCAAAAGAAAAGCACCACACTTTAATGACTTTGATGAACCATAACAGTTCCACCTACAATGTTTCCTTATCAGTTCTTCATAGGCAGAGCAAACACTGCCCTTTCTGAAGCTGTTCAGAGCTCGGTGTCTCATGTACTGTACTGTGGGAACCACCGCTGCCAGGATGAGGGGACTGAGATACGAATATAGGCACAGCACAAAGATATCTAGAAAACTAAACAGCTGGGAGACGCCTGGCTGCAGGCAGCTTCTTGCCAAATTATCACTATACAGCCTCTGACTACATGAGAGCTGTTGGTCAAACTCAGACTTAAAACAGTTTACAATGTGAACAGGGTTGTGTATTCAGGATTAATCTCCCTCTTTTCACAACAAAACGGTCCTCTGTGACCTTGTACTCTTTCAGAAGAAAGTCAAGGGTTTAATGCGGTTCAGCCTTTTGCTAGCCTCAGTGATATGAGCAGG